TGTTTGAATTGTCGTGGCACCGTTTTTTACACTTTCTCACTTTGTCAAGGCTATGTTCAATCGGAACAATTATGGTTGGGATGTTGGACACAATCTACAAGAATAGTTGGAAAATTTGAGTTTTTCTTGCATGTGCATACTTTTCCGAAATGCCCTTGGTTTTTTTTCCGCATCAAAATGACAAAATTTTTCATTTTTTCTGGACATTTTTTGGACTGTGCGGAATATTACTAGTGTTTTTAAAGTTTTTATGGTCAAAAGTCTCGAATCAAGAAATAATTTTTGTACAATTGCCCAAAACACGTGAATATTCAGTTCATGCTACTTTTACATCAAACGTTTATTATTGGATGGATCAGCTAAAACGAGCACAATTATCCACGTTATTTTGTTGAAACAAATGATTTTTGTACGTTTTTCACAAAATATTTTCAAATCAGCCTATCTCTCAGCGATAAATTGTTTTCGCCTCGCTTATTTGGCTGATGGCTCATTTTTAGGCCAACCGATCACTGTTTTGTTTTTAAAACTAAAAGCTTTGTTTTTTTTTTTAATAGTCAAATGCAAACGTAGACATGAAATTTTTCTACATAAGGCTTTGGAGATTGTATTTCGAGCAATATAAACGCACACCACACTTGATGCACTTGAAAATACATGTTGCATACTATTTCATTCATACTAATTTATTACGCTTTAACAGTGTAATAGCAAATTCATTTTAGATTCCAAATATCAAATTATACAAATTGATTCAAAAATCTGTAAAACTTGTTCACTACTTTTTATTTGAGAATACTTAAATCCATTATAATTAATCAATAACCACTATTTCAAATAATGCAATCCATTTGAATACCGAAAACTCAGTTTAGTTTATGACAGCATAAAAATAAGAAAAAATAGTTTTGATTTGAAGATGGAAGATTCTTTTGGAAGTAGACGATTTCCACAAATGACATCTATCCCAGAAAGCCCAGATTCCGCCGAGGTAGATTCAATCGAAGATGGATTTATTGGGAAATACGAAGCACAGTATCTACAATCACTAAGGCATGCTATGCTCACTTTTCATCAATTCCTACTGACTTCTTTTATCCCAATTCAGTGGTACAGTGGACAATTTTTTCTTCGAAGACCTGTGAATATTATTTTTCATTCGAGAAAATTTTCAATATCCACCATGCTTTTTTATAGCAAACTTCATCATAAATCATTTTTGACGCCGTCTTTCAAGACAAAAGTAATACCATAAGTGCTAACGCAGTAATACCGAAACTTCAAAACCCAGTCTTACGTTGAAATGTATTCGGACAATTTTTAACGACACTTTTCCACCACCAAAACTTATACCGCTGGCTCAGCAAATGTGTTAACTAGTAGCGCTAATTTAAAAACTTAAAATAAAGGTTTGCCCCTGTTTCTTTAAAACCAAGTTATGCAAAAATGCAAGGAGAAAACTTTTGAAGTAATATCTGAGCTTCAAAATGTTTTAGAAACTTGAAACAATATCATAGCTCCAAAAGTTTGCAAAAAAATGTTTTTTTTTAATAACATTTGTGTTTCGTTCTTCATATCCCAACTCGCGTTTTCAAATTACGCTGCGTTTGGCATGTGATGATGTATATAATCAGGGCCGTAATTCAAAATATAATTAGGGCCGTAATTGAAATGGATTTATTTTGTTGCTTACTCTTTAATTGGATGATTTATTTTGTGCGTTAATTATCTCGATTTGATTAAATGTGTCCAAATAGTCCTAAACTCAATCCCCCATATTTCAAGAACAGTTAATTAGTGGTGAATTGCTTTTTGACTTTAAGCCTTAGGACATTGATTTTTTTAGATGGTCTAAAACTAAAACGGTTTTCATAATAACGACATTAAAACAAAAATACCGAAGCTCAATTTCAACTGATGGTCTAGAATAGATGGTTTAAAAGGGTTTTCATAAAAACGATATTAAAACAAACAAGACTGCTCGTATCAGGGCGAAGCCCTGAATGTTCCGATCGCCTTTTAAAGTTCATGGAAAAACAATAACATAAATATCATTAACAAATTAAATGTAATAAAAAAATGAAATTTTTCTTTTAAATTTGAAATTTTTTAATGAAAATAATCACCCCACACGCCATAAAAAACTAAGAAAGAAAGATTTCGCTCCTTGTAACAAATCAATATTGGCAAATAAGCTTATTTTAATCAATTTGGAACGATTTCTAAGATGGATTAAATCTCCGCGCGTTAATTGTCAAAAATTGGCCAAAATGGCAATCTTTCAACCCCCAAAACTTTACAAAAAATGATCACAGGTGAAATCTCTTTTCAAATTTAAGCTCAGGACAACAATAGTTTTTGATTGATATAACAAAATTCCGTCAAAAATGGCTAGTTGAAATTTGTCTAAAGAAAAAAAAACCCACCCGAGCACAAATATTCCGTTACTTTCGTTACGAAAGTCGGAACAACAGTACCAAACAAGCTGATTATAAAACTAAGCAAAATTTTGGCAAGAATGCTCAGGGTAGTTTTGCGGGTAGAACTCGAAACCAAGAAGGAAAGGCTATGGTGCGGTTTCTAGAACAAAATTTTTTTCTTTCAAATTTTTGGCGTAAAATTCAGTCTATATTTCAATCCCTTATGATGGAGAGATCGAATGATGGAAAACTAACATCAGCCAATCAGAAATAATTATTCAAAAATCTGAAAAAAATTGCTAAAACTTCATATTCAGAAAAATAATAAAACTACCGAGAGCAAATTAAGCAGACAACTAGGATACTTAAAGGATAACTAATTCTAGAAAACAGAAATTAGCCCGCGCAGTATTTATAATGCATATAAAAGCTGACTTTCTTGTTTTAAACCAACACAGATAAAAAGTAGACCAAAGAGTTGTGACAAGCTAGATTAAAAACACTGGCCAATCAGAGTTTTAAAGGCTTTTTAGGAAAAAAATGTCGGTAGTTATGAACAATAGTTGCCCAAACAGCGCTGAGATTCATCTTTTTTATGATAGCCGGTTTTTTTTTCAGTGTGCTTATACACAACCATATTTTACAAAGTAAAACTTTCATATTATGTAGGGTATCTTAAAAAATGTACTCAGAAAAAAGTTATACGAAATCAATAGTTTTTTTTGAACAAAAAATATTTGGTGTTTTCGTCTTTTGCCGCAAAATTTGCCCAAACTGTCAAAGGATGCCGTCAATTAATTATAGAAGCTCCTCCAAAGTCAGTCCTGGACCTAATTGACGACATACTTGGACGACTTGGGGCAAATATTGCAAAACCAAAATTTTTTGTTTTCTGTTGCTTTTTAATTGACTAAAATTGATTTTTTTCATCAAACTTTTTTCTTCGTTTTTCTATTAAAGCTGCGAATGAAATTACAGTGCTGAATAAATTTACGGTTATAGTAATTAAAATATCAAACGTTAAGAAAACATTTTCCTGAGATTTTTTTGGTTTTGAAACTTTCTCGCTTGAAATTGTCCTATTTTTGGGAGTTATTAGATAGCCCCAACTTTAAACTGATCAAATGTTGCTCTTAAAGAATGCTACGTTTTCTGGCTATACCTATTTTAATGGTGCAATGCGATATGTTAAAATTACAGTCCGCACCGCATATAGTCAGTATAAAAGTTTCTAAGCATCTAAAATCATTTATCCACGAGGGAAAGGACCAACATACGAGCTGTACAGCTCATCACGGCGAACCGCTGTTGAGCCTGCTCTCACCCTTAAGCAACGAGCACAGATCATGGTGGGCTTCGAACATCCTACCTTTCGATTGAGAGCCGAGACACAACCACTTCACCACCGCTCCCCTTGGAAAAAGTTGCAAAAATTGGAACAGACAGAATTAATTAGAAAGAGCAATCTTTAAATTTTGGGAAATTTTAAATCACAAATTACAATTATTATGTGACCTCGAGGAATACTTTCCTTGTCGACCAAAACTTCTTATCATACAATTTCCATACATGAATAACTGCCAAGCATACAATTCCATAGGTACAGAAAACCTGCATGAAATTTCTATGATAAGCATTTTTCCATTAATGAAACTTGTATGATCTGCATTTTTTGTTCCGACTTTCGATACGAAAGTAACGGAATATTTGCGCTCGGGGTGGGTTTTTTTTCAGACTAATTTCGACTTTTTAACTAGCCATTTTTGACGGGATTTTGTTAAATCAATCAAAAGCTATTGTTGTCCTGGGCTTAAATTTGAAAAGAGATTTCACCTGTGATCATTTTTTGTAAAGTTTTAGGGGTTTAAAGATTGCCATTTTGGTCAATTTATGACAATTAACGCGCGGAGATTTAATCCATCTTATAAATCGTTCTAAATTGATTGAAATAAACTTATTTGCCATAATTGATTTGTTACAAGGAGCGAAATCTATTCTTTCATAGTTTATATGGCGTGTGGGGTGATCATTTTCATTTAAAAAATTCAAATTTCAAAAAAAAACTTTTTTCGTTTTTTTTTATTACGTTTAATTTGTTAATGATATTTATGTTATTACTGTTCAATAAACCTTAAAAGGCAGTCGGAACATTCAGGGCTTCACCCTGACGCGAGCAGTTTTGTTCATTTTTAGAATTTGCAGGTGACGAGTTTTTTTTAAATCTCAAATGGAGCAAAATTAGCTTTTAAGAACATCCCATAGGATGTGAATTCTCTAAACAGAGAAGATAACCTTAGAAAGTTTAGAGGGTTTAAGATATTGGAACCTCAACTTTCTCACTTCCTGCAGGCGACGCTCCCCGAGCAACAATTTCCTAAACCTTGTCCAAGGAGAACCAATACCAATTGCACCACGCATAAAAAAGCTACTTAGCTGATGGGGGAAATTGTTTGATAATCGTTTTAATCCAACACTTGACTTGATTGATAAGCATTTTCCAACTCTTTGCAATTCTGTATATGCAAAAACGAAATAAATTTGATTTCGCAAGAGAACTTTGCATAGAATTGTCTGATTTAGAACCAAAACAAACATCATGTTCTACGAGCGACGCAATACAAGGAAGCTCTGTGTGAACTTCCAACCCTCTTCCGATGAGGAGGGGCAAAAATCAACCCCCAAGCAGGAGGAAGGGGAGGGGGCTAATAAGGGAAGAAGACGGATGTCCCAACAGGATAGCAAGGTTTGCCGCATAGTTACATAACTTATAACTTATAACTTATAACATGGCTCATCTCCGGAAAAGGATTATCCGGCCGTCTAATTAAATAGCTAAACCAGTGAATTCAATAAACTTAACTATTGAATTTTTCAAACACATGCATTAGTTTGAAAAACAAGGGCGGGAAAACTTACATGTATATTGTGAAATGAATAAGTTTGTTTTTAATGGCTGACAGAATACAGAGGTAATTCCTTACAAAAAGCCTTACAACTTTGAATGTAATTTGAATGTAAAATTTTAAAAAATGTATTTAAATACAAAAATTTTTGAGGACAACCCGCCCCGCCCCACCAGCATCCGCGTTTGATTATTGGAAGAAATACCAACGCAGCGAATCTGGAGATTGCGATCTATAAATGCGTATAAAAACTTAATAAAAAACTTGATCTTTAAAAAAACAATTTCGCATTTTCTCGAAAGTGACAAAAAAACCCTTCTTCATAAGAAGTTTGAGATGCGGTCAGAAAAATAGAAGTTAATTTGAAGATTCTTCCCGCTTTGTGAGTTGTCAATACAACAGCTTCCATTAGATACTGAACACCTGAAAACTTTTTTAGAAACTTAAGAAAAGGACGTGTAGGATCACTGATGGCGTCCCAGGCAGTAAATTTGATACATTTTGTAAATTTCCAATTCAAAATTTTGCTGTAACTGCCTGAAAAAAAAATTTTTTTCTTCGAAACTTGAAAACGAAAAAAACTTAATTCCAAAGTTCCTAATGGTAAGCTCGGAAAAGACTTTTGATTATTATAACCGTTTGAGGAGAAGAGGTGCAAGGGGTGCAACTACCTGGAGAAGGAGCACTTCGTGAGCTTCAATCGACCAAAGCCCTGGTCCAAGGTGAAGACGTGGAGGAGTGACTTGCATCTGGACAGTGTAGACTTCGGGCAGACTGGTATCAACCGCAAGATCAGGTGGGCCATAAGGATTCTTTGGGGGGGGGGGGGGGGTAGTGGTGGAGGATATGGGTAAACGGATACGGGTATTTCGATCTCTTACTTGCATTTGTAAGTTTTTCGACTGCCCTTCTTGAAGTTCTAGATTCTAATTAAATTTTTATTCATTTCTCATTTTATGAACATCAAATAATTTCTGCTCGTTGATGATTTTCCGGAAAACCCAGAAATCTGTTTAAAGTTAATTGGAAACGACAGCTCGGAAAATATGTACTTACTTCATTTTGATTTTCAGCAAACACAAACTTGAAACTGCTTAACTCTATGAAGTAAATGAAAATCGAAATATCAAAAAAATGATCCCGAAAATATTGGCATTTTTTCCACTGATGCAGTCACATGGTAATGGCGTTCGTACAACAAAATTTTAACGCCAGAACTAAAAGTATGCAATCATTGAATTAAAATTTTTGAAAGCTGCTTTGACCGAAAGTCATCAGGCCAAAAAGTGGCGAGAAAGGAACAAAATAGCTATTCAGCTAGAGAAGTATATTGAGATTTTGCCTCTAAGTTAGGGGCGGATTTAAGGGGAAGGGGCGGACGCCACCCCCCCCCCCCCCCCCCCATCCCTCAAGGATTCGATCAAATGCCGACACAAAGGGTCCCCCCTTTGTACTATTTTGAGATATCCATTTTTGGCTGACTGACTCTAAAATTTTTTTGAAGGCGCCTTCGAAATTTTGAGGGAGGAGCGCGCGCCGAAAAAACGAGATTTATTGGTCAAAATTTTCCAAAAACTGCGCCTTTACGCAGATATCAAAGTAGTTGGTTGTTTTTTGAAATTATTTTTTTATGTCTCTGGTCTGGTTTAAACTCCACAGCTTATTTGAAATATTGTTGAATTGTTCACCAAAATTCTATCTTTTTTTCTCGGTCAATTCGACTTATTTGAAAGTCGACTTAAAATTGCGAAAAAAACAACATTTTGTGATAGTGCTGAAACTGATTGGCTAATTCTAGCCGATCAGATTGAAAAAAATAGGTTCATTTCATGATGTTGAAAAAAACCCGTGATTTCCTAAAAAATTGATTTTTTTACATTGTGGCGCCGTTGGAATATCCAGGGGGTTCAACTAAAACGAGCAACATAGTTGTTCCAATTTCGAAAAAAATGAGGAATATATATGCCTTGGGTGGTTTTTCAATCGGAAAATTTTTACAAAATAAGTTGAAGACGCGCAAGGATCGATCCCTAAATCTTTTGATCTGGAAAACAAAATGAACAAAAAAATAAAGTCTTACGTCTCCTCATTTTACTTCGGTACTCAAAAGGCTGTTAAATTAAATCATTTATTTTACACAGAGGCAAAGCTTCGCTCCGCAACCACTAGCGAGAACACGATAAAAAGCAGTTCTGTGAAGTGCCACAAGACTGCCCGTATCAAGGTGAAGGCCTGAAGTTTCCTTCTGCCTTTTAACGTCTATGGAAGCAGTTATAACATAAAAAAATTGAAGGTAAAATTTTTTTTTTTTAAATTTGGGATTTTTCGTGAAAGTCATGTTAAGTATCCAAGTGATACATTTCGCTCCTAGTAACAAATCAATTATGGCAAATAAGCTTCTTTCAACCAATTTGGAACGATTTCTATGAGGGATAAAATCTCCGCTTACGCGTTAATAGCGCGAAGAATATCGCGCGTCAATTGTCCCAAATTGGCCAAAATGGCAATCTTCAAACCCCCATAACTTTATCAAAAACGATCAAAGGTGAAAAACTTTTTCAAATTTAAGCTCAGGACAGCAATACTTTTTGAATGATATTATAAAATTACGTCAAAAATTGCTAGTCAAAAAGTCGAAATTTCTCTGAAGAGAAAAAACTATCCCGAGCACAAATATTCCGTTACTTTCGTATCGGAAGTCGGAACAATGAAAAAGTATAAATAAGACTCAAATTAGTAAAAGTTTGGTTATGTCTCGAATTTGCTTTGCAACCAAAAGCGAGATAGAGATTATGAGTCTCACGCACTAACGACGCAGCCACGGAAGCCTAATGAAACGCAAACACTGGCCACAAATAACGCAGAGAACAGATGCTAAGAATTTCCAATGCTACAGATCGTGATTATAACAAAACTACCACCAAACAAGCGAACACTTTTAATGAACACTTATTTGCGAGTTAGGTTAGAAAAAAAAGAAGATTCGTACTAACACACTATGCTGTGAGCTAGTGCAAAAATTGAAAGCAAAAGAGGAGAAGTCAGACGATTTTTCACCTAAAAGCTAAAAAGTTTTTGTTTCAAATAACTTTTAACTAAAAGTTGAGGAAGGCCCAAAATCAATGGTTGAGAACCATGAATGTAATGGTTTTCCCATTTAGACTGGTCGGTTGCTCGAACGAGGACAGTGCTGGGTAAGTAATCAGTGGTCACCATTCATGTTTACAGTGACCATACCCATCGTAAGAAATGTGGCATGTTTCGTCACTCACTCATTTCGCCCCTCACACATTTTGCCCCACAATCATTGCTCGACTTTCTGTACAAAATATTTGGGGCGAAACGTTTTGAGGGGCGAAATGTTCCTTAAACTTGAGAGGGGCGAAATGTGTGAGGGGCAAAACGTGTGTGGATTATTTGCATACGCATAAATAAAAACAAACAAACATCATCCTTAGATTCTTAGTCGTCTATCGTTTCCTGACTTTCCTGGCTACTTTTCTATATTTCCCTTTTTCATCTGGTCTTTTCAATTTTGATTTTGTGTCTCTCCCAATCAGTGATGTCCATTTAAAAAAATAATTTAAATTAATTTAAATGTTCATTTAAGTTTCAATTTATTTAAATGTGAAAGTATGAGCCCACACAACTAAAATTGAAAAAAAAAATACAAATTGCTCGGGCGGTGTTCGATCCGACGTCAAAGTACACAGTTTCGTTATGTCAATTAATTTCACTTTTTCCAGTTTAACGGAAAAAAGCGAGCAATCTAAGTTTTCACGACAAAATTGTTAAAAGTTTGTTGCAAGTAGATATGCAAAAAGTATTTATGCATATTTATTTTTTTTTTAAAACAGACTTAAGAAAAACTTTAAATAGTTCAGAAACATTTAAATTGATGCCAACATTTTTTATAATTTTCTTGAACAATTTAAATTTCAATTTTAATTTTTATTATTTTTTAAATGGACATAACTGCTCCCAATTGATTTTGGTGCATTTGAAAACTTAACTAGTCTTATGAATGGTAAAGTTGAGCAAAAACGAAATCATTTGGTTGATTTTTTAAGACTCATCAGAATTGAAGACCAGACTTAGACAACCCTTTCTTTCAACATTTTTATATTGTCTGCATTCCCATTTTGTTCATTATTGCGTACAGTCGGCTTTTGTTTCCAGTTTCAAAATGACTTTTAACTTACTCGATCTTTATCCGGTTTAGCAATACTTTTGTTGAAAAAGAACGACGGAATGAAATGTCAGATATGTTTCTCCTAACAAAAATTATGGTGGCGTACCATTACGTATTTATCTCTTTAAGTATTCTTTCTGAATTTTCGTTCCGGTCGAGCTCTTAGTTTAAAATATGTAATACGCAAGTTCGAACAAATTTATCAGCTAAATTATCAGAAAATAATCAAAATGTGAATATTAAAAAAGATCTATGTGTACTATATGATACGCTCCTTGTAAAAAATCTTACTATATGAGACGCCCCCTGGTAAGACTGGCTCTAAATAAACTTTTAAAACAAACTTTCCACAGAAAAAAAAAACAAAAATTCTAAATTGAAACTGGAAACAACTTATTGTTCTGCAACGGCACTGTCTACTCGCACTATTTCTTTGAGCTGCATTTGCATAAAGAAACAACAACCCCTCCCCAGACCAGATTTGTGTAAGTGAGTACACGCGTGTGCACTGTAGGGTGGTGAGCGAGGTGGGAGGGATTGAGAAGACTGCTCAGTTGACCATAGTGGCCGATGACACACACCCTCTGGTGGTGGTGGAACACTTATTGGATGACTGGAAACTGGACCTGCCCAACATCTGCATCAGTGTCATAGGCATGAAAATACACCACACCCAGCGTACCGGGGGGTTGCCATTTTTTTTGAAGAGTCCTCCCCCTTTGGATACTATGACGACAGTCATTTCTGAACGACCAAATTATAACAAATCGTACAAAAAGTCAGTGGTGTTAATAGATACAATTTTAGTAAGCATGAAAACCAAATCGTTCAAAAATTTGCAGCCAGTGGCGCCAAATATACAATTTTCTTGCTGAGCGACCATTTCGTGACTTTGACTGTTCCAGGCACTACTGGGAAACACGTGGTGATGCCTCCGCGGTACCTGGCCAGACTGAAGCAGGGATTGTTGTCTGCCGTCAGCTCCACCTCCTGCTGGGTGCTCACAGGGGGAACGAACCAGGGTCAGTAAAATACACATTTTTAATATGAGGAAAACCCTCGTGGCCGAAGAACCTAATGACTGAAAATTATTCTCGCCAATCAGAAAACAGTATTCACAAACTCGCGAACAATTAGCTTGAAATGATGATCAACGAAATTTCTACCATCAAAAAGACGGCAATGGCTTGGAAATTTTGTGCATTTGGCCCCTAATTGTTATTGCCAATTAATTATTACCAAGCTAAATGATTCTGAGTAATGAAAAGGCACGCCAAAAATGCCTCATCATTGTTTGAAATTCGCTCTAAAAACGCTTGAAATTAATCATAGATTAAAAAAATTATGTTGGAGCTATTATTCAACTTTGCTTGGAATATCCAGGAGTGGACGCCATCGCATGTGATGCTCTGAAGAATGCCCAACTGACTAGCTGGATGGGAACCCAGGACGCCCCGGAGTTCGAGATACTGGGAATTGTGAACTGGAACTGCATTTCCCAGCACCAACACATCAGTCGCTGGGCATTCGATACAAACAACCAAAGCACAGCCAACAAAAAATACAGCAAGGGTGAAAATAACCCAAATGAAGTGGAGCCGTTTGAGTACCACGTCAGAAAAGCCACTTTCGATTCAACCACAGGTATAAATTATTTGCAAATGTCGTTCATGAATATTTAGAAATCTATTACAAATGCTAGTATAAAAAACGTGCTGTGTTTTTTGACGGAGGTGGTTATTCATGTCCGTTACGTTTCGCTGAAGACTCAGTTGGTTTCAAGCTCTAATTCATTTTATTGGTGTCTAGTTGAGAACTTTATGATCAGTTTTTTCCCTCAGTTTGCGCTATTTTATTCTCGCGGATTAACCGTAAAAAAAACTGGAAATTAAGCGTGCAAAAATGTCAAAACTAACAGTGTGTTACAATAAATGTAATAAAAAAAAGATCTTTTTTTTCTAAAATTTGAGATCTTTTGTGAAAATCATCCCCCCACACGCCGTATAAAGTATAAAAGGATAGATTTCGCTCCTTGCAACAAATCAATTATGGCAAATAAGCTTCTTCAACCAATTTTGAACGATTTCTAAGACGGATTAAACCTCCGCTTACGCGTTAATAGCGCGCAACATATCACGCGTTAATTGTCCCAAATTAGTAATCTTTAAACCCCCATAACTTAACAAAGTATAATCACAGGTAAAATATCTTTTCAATTTCAAGCTCAAGACAACAACATATTTTGATTGACATCATAAAAATTGGTCAAAAATGGCTAGTTAAAAAGTCGAAATTTGTCTGAAAAATAAACCTAACCCGAGCACAAATATTCCGTTACTTTCGTTACGAAAACAGTAACAATAATTTTGTGAAGAGAGATATTTTGCTCTACAGAAATTTATCATGAGTTGCGTTTTCATTATCAATTATAAAAATCTACAGCGGACAATTATTAGTTCAATGCATAGTCAAATCGGCGATTGTTTCCCCCCTTAATTCTGGTTGCCAAACTTTTCCAAAGGGTCCCCCTTTGGTATATATTTACGACATTCATTTTTCGTGAACAACCTCAAAATATTTCTAAAAGCAAATAAAACTATTTTTGAGGGGGGAGCGCGCGCCGAAAAAAGCGACTTTTTTTGGTCAAAGTTTTCCGAAAAATGCCTAAAAACGCCTTTTTGGCCTGTGTTTTGAAACATTTGCCTGCGGCGAAGAAAAATTTTCACAAAATACAGTTGTTGTACTTTTATAGGAAAGCTCGGAAAATCAAATTGGTCGACCTAAAAAAAAGTTGACAAAATTATTTGAAAAAACCGCCGCCCTAGAAAAATTTCTGCGCACGCCACTGATGAAACAACTCATGATGCATAAAAATTCCAACACTCTCATCTAAAAAATATTTATTGTTCAAGACGGGATTTGAGCGGTAGCCTGTTCATAATTATGCAAAGAGAGATACAGTGCTGATTTAAATTATCCGGACAAAACGAACAAAACTTGAAATTTCCAACATGTTTTTCTCAAACTGGGTTATGATTAAACAAAAAGTGAAGAGAATAAAAGTTGCTTAAAATTTCACCAGAATTATTATGGTGCCATTTTTTCTCCGAAATTTTCAACAAAAATTTTACCCCAAAAATGGGTTATTTGGTTTTTTTCAAAACAATCAAAAATTACATTGAAACTACTTTGTTATTTGATAAGAAGATTATATCACAAGAAGCTTCTTACACAGCCCAACAAAATTCTAGAAAGGTTAAATATCCAAAAACCTGTATAAAAGAAACTATTTTTGCCTGATTTTTAAATAACGTGATTTTTACTGTATAAAACCCAAAATCTTTGATTGAAAACAAAATTTAAACATTTTATTCAAATATTTGGAGATTTAACCCTTGTAGAAATTTGTTGGGCTGTAGAAGAAACTTCTTGTGATATATATTCCTCATCAATTAACAAAGTAGTTTCATTTTATTTCTTGATTTTCTGAAAAAAGACCCATTTTTGGTGTAAAATTTAGGTTGAGAAATTCGGAGAAAAAATTGCACTATATTAATTGCGATGAAAGAACTTTTGTGTTCTTCACTTTTTGCCAAATCTTAACCCAATTTGAAATAAAAACGTGTTTGAAAAATCAAGTTTTATTCATTTTGTCCAGATAATTTAAATCAGCACTGTAGTTTTGATTCGAAAAAAAACTGGTATTTATCAAATTTTACCATCAATCTAAACTTTGTTAATAAATGAAAAACGATGATAACGTTTTAATCTCAGAACCACGTAATAAAATTGTTACAGTGCAAGTCCCACAAAGGCTGGCCTTTCTGCGCTTTCTATGTTTACATGTAAACTGATACATGTAAACTGAGTACTTGACTTTTTCGAATAATTGAATAAAAAAAAACTTTTTTTTTAAATTGGGCGTTTTTAGACATCCAATGTCTCAATATACCGAGGAGATACTAACCGAATCGCTTTTCTGCCCTAAATTCCTCCTAATCAAAACAATAGGTTAGCATGCCAAATAAAACACGGAGTGATGATAACACGAAAGCAAAGTAAACGTTTGGTTCAAATTATTATCACATTTTGTTGTCTTTCGGCATAATTTTTCTCAGTCATCACCCATTGGCCCTCTCCGACCGCTGCCTCCCCCAGGGTTGTGTTGCATGACATGGTCTATCCAGCTGAGAAAGAGACCCACTCGAACAAAGTAGCTCCCTGGCCCGTACCCCTCCTCATTGTGTTCCTGATAAAAACATAATTTTTCTGTAAATTGACAGTTCTGCCCCTTCAATTCTGTTTGCCAAACATTTCTAAAGAGTACTCGCTACTATGTCCTTAAGTACTACCCATTTTACGATATCCAGTTCTGACCAACCAAGCCTAAAATTTTACTGATCTAAGAGAACTCGGAATATTAATTTGATATCCTAAAGGTTGGCAAAGTTGTTTTGAAGCCCCTTGAGGCATAGTTGTTTTGTACTGTGCCTGATTTCGGTTGCGAGAATAGGTGGCAACTCCGTAAAGACATCGGGGAGGTTCCAGAAATTCCTCGCAGTCTAGAATGTAGAGTGGTCCTCCCTCGTCCATCACTGCAATGTGTGCGTCATCGCCCAACAGTGGACTGGTGCATACAAGGTCATGTCTAAAAATAAAATAATTGGTAGCAATGTAGTTGTTTGGAGTCCTTTTACTTTTTCAATTCACAAGATTGTTAATGTCGCAGCATTAATAAATCATCGCGGACCAAGTTACCAGACTTGAGCATAACACATGCAGGCCCTACGCCTTGAATTTGCCATTTAAATTTAGTCGTGAGATTTTACACTTGGTCTATTAAGGGGAAAACTGTTCACATGGCCCCTCGTCGCAACACTCGAAGTTAAACACGGCTATTTATAATATCTCAATCGGGTAGGAGAATTGACTCTAAATTTTTAAAATGAAACTTGAAATGAAAGTAGCCAGTTGCTGCGTAATAATCACAGAATATTTCGATCAGAATATTTTTTTGATCAGTCTATAATGGCTAGTTGGCATGTAATGAATGAGCGTTTTGGGTTCATAACGTACATTCCCGCATCCAGTTTCAAGCGTTAAAAATCGATTATAATATGATTTTAGCACCAGTGTTACAAATATTGAGACAAAAATTGATTTTAATCAATTAATAATCGATTATAATCTCTCTTTTGAAATCAAATATCATCAATTATAATACATTGATAACCGAATCATAACAATTATAACATATAACCGAATTTCTATCTGACTTGTTTTGAACAAGAAATCGACTATAATCGATTATAATTGTTTATAATCCCTTCTGTTTGCACCTTTTGACTTCAACCTTCCACCTGAATTGCTTATATTTTATGCTTTTCGTAAACGTTGCTTTATAAAAAAAATGGGAAAATTGTTTAAGCAGTTTTCAAATCAATTCAAATTTATAACATGTTTTTCATTTCTTCTTGATTATAATTGTTTCATGATGCCTATTTTAAATTTTTTTGACCACCAAAATATCAGCACACTGCTTGAGTTTGATGGTTTTTTATAGAAGAGTTATATTTCACCTACCGCGGGATTCTTTCAACTAATATGAAGGGGTCTCTATGAAACTAATGAACCAAAGAGCAACAAGACAGCTCACTTTTCGAGATTTTTGACGAAAAATAAATATAATCTACTATAATAGATTTCAATAAAAGAGTTTATAAGCGATTATATGAAATTTTAATAGATTTTAAGAAAAGAGATTAAAAGAGATTATAATAGATTGTAAGCGATTATAAGAGATTTTAGGAAAAATTATAATCAATTATAATTGATTATAACTTATTATAATGACACAAAAAATGTTATCATTGTAATAGATCATAAGCGATTATAAAAGATTTTAGGAAAAATAAAAATCAATTATCATTGATTATGACTTAATTATAATGACACAAAAACGTTACCATTGTAATGGATTATAAATCGTTTAAACACATAAATTTGGCGCTTATAATTAATTATAATTTTGACAAAAGTGCAATTATAATTGTAATATAATCAAATACTTTCTCTTTTTACTGAGTTAGTAGTTCAGTGCGCACTGTGTTAGTTCAGTTAGTAGTTGAGTTACTAGTTCAGTGCGCGCAGTGGTTAGTAGTTCAGTGCGCGCTTTACCGTGCTCGTTTCTTTCCACATCTCAAGAGCAACTTTTTATTCCGACTTTTGTAACGAAAGTGATGGAACATTTGTGCGCTGTGGTAGTTGAGTTAGTCTTTCAGTGCGCGCAGTGGTTAGTAGTTCAGTGCGCGCTTTTACCGTGCTCTTTTTTCCGACACCTCAAGAGCAACGTTTTATTCCGACTTTTTTAACGAAAGTGATGGAACATTTGATGGAACATTTGTGCTCGGGGTGGTTTTTTTCTGCAGACGAAAATCGACTTTTTAACTAGCAATTTTTGGCCCAATTTTTATATCATTCAAATGGTGTTGTTTTCTTAAGTTTAAATTTAAGAAGACATTTCACTTTTGATCATTTTTTGTGAAGTTATGGGGGTTTAAAGATTGCCATTTTGAGACAATTAACGCGCGATATGTTTCGCTCTATTAACGCGTAAGAGGAGATTTAGTCCCTCTTAGAAATCGTTCCAAATTGTTTGAAGGAAACTTATTTGCCATAATTGATTTCTTACTAGGAACAAAATCGATCTCTTCGTATTTTAAATGGTTTGTCGGAGGATTATTTGCACAAAAATCCCTATTTAAAAAATTTAATTTTTTTCATTTTATTTTATTTTTTCGGATCTTGTCAACTACTTCCTCCCTATGGTATCATGTGACGAATCACACCCCCCATAAAAAAGAATTGAACAGTTAAGCATATACGAATTTTGCACTTTGTTAATTAGAGGTGAATCGCTTTTTGACTTTAAACCTTAGACATCGATTCTTTTTAGATGGTCTAAAACTATGGCTTTCATTATAACGATATGATAATAGAAATACCAAAACTCATTTTCAACTAGACCGCCCATCATAGAAATAGTTAACAAGATCCATTTTTCATGTTATTACTGCTCCATAAATCTTAAAAGGCAGTCTTATTTGTATCTGACAATTCTGTTTCCAATGTTCAATTAACAAAGATATGGGCATGCGGGCTAATTTAGATATTCCAAATAGTAGCGGATTTAAGGTGAGACGCCCCTTCTTTCAGGGATTCGACGCCCTACCGACCCAAAGTCTTTATAGTGATTTGGGAGAGCTCAGATGATCAATTTGGTTGACCTAAAAATTCGCCCCCCCTTTTTTTAAAAATCCCCCCTCAAGAAATTCCTAGATCACGCCTGATGGTGGAGGGGGCGGGGTGGATTTTTGAAAGTTTTTCGAAACTTTTGTTGACTTTTTGCTTTTGGATCTTTTTTTAGGTCGACCAAATTGATTTTACGAGCTCTCCATTATCACTAAAAAGACCTTGTCTTGGCCAATTTTTTAACGCCGCAGGCAAATTTTTGAAAAAAAACACTACAAAAAACATTCTGAAAATATTTAACAGCGACGAACTTTTGAGGACTCAAGCCATACTTTTTACTGACCGTGCGTGGGTAGGGGGATGTTAAGAAACTTACACGTTGAGCACCCCTCCCCCACCCTGTTCAATTGTGAAAAAAACATTGGGGAGTTTAAACTGTAAATAGGGGGAGTGGGGTTGATGACCTTAGTAAACATGAAGTTGGGGTGGGGTAAACGTATTTGAGTTTTTACAATGTTTTTTTTTCATCTCCTCGCTTATCTCGCTTAATTTACAATTTTGTGTTGGAACGATTGGTTTTTTTTGTATTATGGATTGCTTAAGAGGGCAATTTATATTTTCCAAAAACTTCTCGCAGGAACTCATTTGTCAAAAAACCAACAAATTAATTTTAAAAAAAGAAGATAAGCCAAGATAATTAAAACCCAACGACCTCAGTGCCGAAAATTTACCAAAAGTTTTATGAATATCATTAAAAACAATACAGTAAAGGCAAAAACAGTAACCATGCTAATAATTAAGGATGCAGTGGTACACTGACCATGCAATGCAAATACAGGCAAATTCAGTAACCATGATATAAATTAACCATGCAGTGACACACAGACAATGCATAATTGTTCCAACAATGTACAAAAATAACGGAAATTTGTGCTCGGGTGTGTTTTTTTTTCTTCAGACAAATTTTGACTTTCTAACTAGCCATTTTAGACGGAATTTTTTATATCATTCGAAAGCTATTGTTGTCCTGAGCTTAAATTTGAAAATATATATATTTCACATATGTTCATTTTTGTCTTAAATTATGGGGGTTTAAAGATTACGAACTTGAGACAATTAACGCGCGATATATATCGCGCTATTAACGCGTAAGCGGAGATTTATTCCGTCTTAGAAATCGTTCCAAAATGGTTGAAAGAAGCCTATTTGCCATTATTGATTTGTTAATAGGAGCAAAATCGTTCACTTTGTTTTGCAGTTAATATGGCATTTGGGGGGATGTTTTCACAAAAAAGCTCGAACTTCTAAAATAAACGTAATGTTTTTTTTTATTAAAATTTTTCATATTACTACTGCTTTATAGACCTTAAAAGGCAGTCGGAACATTCAGGGCTTCGCCCTGATTCGAGCAGTCTTGTTAACCATCTAGGAAAAAAGTTGTTTACGAGAAAAAAGTCTACTAACCGATTGCAATACCCTCTTTATCGCAAGGGTACAAAACCTTTGGAGATCGAGAGGTTACGCTATTTGATATGATTTTATTCTAGAAAACAATCGTAAAAATTAATAGTTTTTAAATGTAACTTTCACTTTCTCACGAGGTAACTATAATGGTAACTATATACAGCTTTTTTTACGGAATGAAATCGCGTGAAAAATCCAAACACGCCATTGTTCCTTCCTAATCTATGTTGAGGTGGTCGAAACTTCAACTGCCGTATTTAAGCCATTAGTTACGAATTCTTGGGCGTTTATTTGCCCCCCCCTTTCGCGCGTAGTTTGGTTGTTCAAAACCGGATGTCACAAAATAGCACCCATTTGAGACCCTTAGGATAGCGAGAAAATCAAGTTCGGCATCCTCCAGCGGGTAAAATCAATTCTTGATTGCAAAACACTCCGGTGATGATTAGTTTAAAACTTCAAACCTGCAGCATGATTTTGGATTGTACGTTTTGGAATTTAATTTGAATCGTGAACGTTTTTTTGGTGCTATTTATCATCATCGCTCTAATTGAAAAATTTTACGAGCAATTGAGAAAAAATCTTCGAATAGGAGTAGCAGACAAAGGCATGACTTTACCTGCAGAAGTTGAATTGAAAGAGACCGTATGTCTCGAAAGGAATCTGTTTGAAAAAAGTCTCCTGAAGAGTAGGTGGGAAAGAGTAGGACCGCGAGGAGGTTGCACCCATTCCACAGAAGCCGAGGAAAGTACTGGGCATATCGTCTGGCCGAATGAGGTCTGGGCAGATGGGGAGAGCTATCTGATTTCCGTGAGCTATGGGACTTCTGGTTCGCACGAGAGCCAAGTCATTCACTGGCGTATCGCTGAACTCAAATCTAAAACATATAACCTCAACTACCCACTTTATCCTCTACACGTTATTGACAATAGAGGTTTTTCAAAGCAAATTTTCAAAACTTTAATCAATCCGCAAAGATTTTTTAATAGGACATCACACTCATTTTTGCTCATTTCTTCCTTTGTGCACCCACAATCTCACCCTTGGAAAAGCGTCGTCACAAAATTTTAAATAATGAGTTAACTAAAAGGGCGACTTGAAGCTGATTTTTTTTGGTTCGCAATATGATTGTTGGTTCAATTTTGCTCAATTAAAGCTTCACATTGACTACATATAATATCTCTTCTAACCCTGGTGCGATGAACACCGCGTCCGCAAAGTAGTTTGTCAAGAACGAATCAGGCACTGAGTGGTCCCCAACCTCCACAGTCAACTGCCGTGCTACAACAAGGAAGATTATCTTCATTCACAGACATGCTTTCAGATTGAAGGTCCTTCAGATACATTTTTTTTACAGCCGTCAACATAAAATGAGAGCGCATATCAGCGTAGGGTTTTGACAGAGTCATATATTGCCTGCGAGATATTAAGAATTATAAGAAACTAGCTGCCGACGTGCCGATACCAGAATCAAAGCAAAACCAGCAATAGCCGGTTGCTGTAATAGTAGCACATATTCATGACATGAATTGTCTCACATGAATTAAAGAAAAATGCGGTTCATCAAATTGTCTTAAATAGCACAGAAGGTTCCAATCATGGTCATTTTTACATTAAAAAACTAAAGGATCAATTAGGTGACCTGGCTAGGATCGAGGCTAGATCTGTTGCTGTAAGCTTTAGTCACCCTCAGGGAAAACATGCCAAAAACGTCGACAATAAAATTACATTTTAAGCTTGCAGTTCAAAATTAGTATCAGTTAAAATAGTTGAACATTGAAACAACGCACCTCAATTCCGACAAAAAGAACACCTGTTTGAAGCCTGTATTTGTACGAATAGCTGTATTTGAACAAGACTCTCGAAACTTATCTGAAGAAAAAAAAAATTATAAATTCTGTCTCTGGGGAGTGCTTGTTGGTCAAGAGAAATGAAGAAAAGAAAGAAGAACTACCTTGCTAATGAGTAGATATCATAGTAGCTTGAGGAGCAGCAAAACTTTTTTGTAGCTGATTTCAACAAAAAAAATGCACCTTTTTGTAACAGTCGTTAATAGAAATAAGCCTTATAACCATTGGCTCAAGGGTCAGGGACCCTCTTGTGTTTTTGCACCTCATTCTGCCTGAGCCAGTTCATTCGCTTGAGACAGGGGACTTCAAGATCGTGTTACAGCTTAAAGGCTACTACCAAAATACCCCAACCCTAGAAATAAGAACGACCCCATGGCTAGGTCTCTAAATACCTAATACACGCGAACGTTGCTAAAAACAGGGTCGGAAACTCAAGTTAATGCCATTAGTTTTTATTGGACAGTGGACGTTTGATCAATTTCAGATGGATCGACTTCAAACCCGCCTTACCACAATACAGCTCTCATAAAATGCACTCTGGAAATTAAATTCAGTACTCACATAGTGACTACGGCTCAGAAATCGATAAAGTAAAGTAATTAAGATAATTCGAAGTTTGATAATTTCGACTAGTTTTTACTCAAGAGGTTTTATCATCTGAATCATTGGGTCGCTTCACCCGTCGACCTGCCCAATCCAGGTGTTTTTTCCCAGCGCGAGCGTTTTCGTAGGAATTTTTGGTGTTCTCTGTCGGAAACAAGACAACTCAAATGGGTCATTTCGGTAAAATTGCAAATAGCAATTTTACTCTAGGCCAGTTTTTCTGCCAATTTTTCCGCTATTATTAATCGACTCCTCTGATAATCTGTTTTTCATTTCATTTGCTGCGATAAACTTAAGCCTGACATGGCCAATTCGATTTTTTAAAAAAAAAAACCATTTTGCCCCAAATTCAACATAAAACTTCGGGATATGACCGACTGTCATATTTTTAAATTAGCGAGTCAATTAATTGCAAAAACGTTTTAGAAAAAAAATTATTCAGACTCAGAAATTAACAGTAGTCAAGAAAAATCAGAAGGTTAATTGTTGAAAAAGTTTACGATTATTAAAACGATTATATTAGCAGTAAGTATTCAATCAACAGTAGTCAAGAAAAATCAAACGAAAAATAAAAAAAGCGTGGCCTACAAAAAGCAGCATAGAGCAGGAAATCAAGAAAATTGTGACAAAGATGACCTTTTCTAAACTATTTAGCTTTACAAAGTAGGTCCAACATCCACCATGCACTAAATCTTTGTTTTATTTTCGGGAAAAATAGGCGAAAAGTATTAGAACGGTTAGTTAGAAAAAAAAACTTGGACTGGAAACTTGCAGAAAATGGCAACAAAATCCTCTCAATTTTATTCAATCATGCTGTAAATGTAAGTGTTTTAAAATGGTTTAGCATTGTGTATGAAGCTTTACAGCCAAAGCAGAACAAAATTTCATAGTAGAAATCATATGAGAAAAGGTTTAATCAATTGGATTCATGAATACTTAAGCACCAGTCCTATTAAGCCTTCACAAGTGTTTTTATCGAAGGGTCGTAGGAAACTAGACGACAAGCAAATTAGACCACCGCAAGTTGACAAATTTTAAGCAATAACTTTTTGTGAGTTTAGACGATTAGAACCGGACCAACAACATTTTTTGTTTAAATTGAAGTTACAGACACCTGATCATTTAAAAAAATTATTTATGAAACAATAAATTGAAAAAGTATAACAGATTTTGAAATGCGTAACTCATACACCTGTGACTTAGATAATCAGATTTGCGGTTTGGATAACCAGTGTTTACCCAAACAAAACTTAATTCAAGTATGTAAACAAAATTCACGCAATCTACATTCCCGTTACTTTCTGAGGGTCTAGGACAACAAGCCGACGGGACTTCAAGCCGAAGGGACTTCAGGCCAAAAATTAAACTTTACAAGCACCTCAAATCATTATTTTTTCATCTGTAAAACGTTGCTTGTCAAAATCGTAAGCTATTTTACTCCATAATAAGCGTTATTTATGACAAAGAATCACTTGGGATTGGCATCCGTTAATAATATCAGCCGGTTTTTGAAATGCATAAATTATAAACAAAAAAACTTACCTTCAACCGTGTTTTATTTTTCAACTTTCCTAAGCATCATTTGGAGGCTTAAATTCTATGAAAACGCTAATAATTACCGAATAAAGATAATGAAATTGAGAAATTCTTCAAAAAATTTTTCAAATTAATCATATTTCATGACTTAGGGACAAAATTTTCGGCTTGAAGTCCCTAATTTTACAATTCGGATTGAAGTCCCGTCGGCTTGATGTCCGGTACCCAATTTCTGATTGTCTAATTTGCTTGTCTTCTAATTTCCGAAACGCTGTTATCAAAATTGCATCGCCCTAAGTAGACAATCACCACGGGAAAATCAAACGTTTTGCGTTATAACTACACTTGGTTACATAGCAGTATTTAGACAAACGCGTATTCAGACTCGTCAGTATTTAGACAAATACTGTTTCAACCAATCAGAATCGAGACAAAGAAGAAATTAATGAATAATATTTATTTATTTTGGATTATTTATGTCTTTTCTGGATTCTGATTGGTTCATACAGGATTTGTCTAAATACTGACGAGTATGAATACGCGGTTGTCTAAATACAGGCTGCACTCCCTACACTTCAAGGGGAGGTGGTGTACATAAAGGTAAAGTGATTTTAACTTTTTCACTGACAGCGGTGGTGAGTATACTGCGAGTTGTTTTTTACTGCGGCTTGTCTTTTATTGCGAGCTGTCTTTTGTGGCGAATTGTCGCATTACGCCAGCAGTAGTACTTCATTTTGCGTGGAAAACAATAAGTAACTGAATACAAACTTCGTGGTCGGAACAAAAGATTTGAGAGGTAACTCACGCAGCAGAGAAGCGACACAGTGAGCAGCTGTGAGGACGAATCTCTCGTTGATAACACTTCCCCCACAGAAGCTCAGCCTGTACTTGATTCGTACAAAGAACTGTCTCCGAGGACTATCTAGCCCATTCACGATAGAGGATAGGGTCCGATTTGACAGAGGGGGAGGACTGGGCGCTAGATTAGTCAGTATACGGGCAATTCGGACTGAAATGTTTGAACAGTTTTCATTCTAATAAAATTTACTGTTTAGAGAATTATATAAAAAACAACGACAAGCCTTCTCAATTCAGTAAAAGGGAACATGGAAAGATAACTATATTAGCATTAAAATTAAAAATCGAATTTTACATCGCTGCATATAATAACTATAAAAGATGTACTCGAAATATTGATTGAGTTTTAAAAAAGTATCAAAAAGATCAGATAAGAAATGACCACAAAAACTTTTGCCCGATTGCAAGTATCCTGAAGTACCATTTCCCGACAGGTTTTCGTTTTGTTTAACAAACTCAATGTTGATTTCATTTGCGACTCGGGAATTGAGAGTACTCAAACTTAACAAAAAGCAAATCAAGGCCAAAAGATTCATGATTAAAATTGGAGCATTGAAGTAGCATCTAAACCTCATTTAGTTTAGCCATCAGAAACAAACAATTAAAATGCATTTCAATGCCATTATTGACTGAAGTTCAATTCATTATACAAAATTATGTCAGGTCTTAACTAATACCTTTTTCGAAAGAAAATAGCTTTTTTAAATTTGAACTAATTTCTATGTCATAAAAATCTTGAACTGTGAATCGGTCTCGAAGTTATCAATTAATCTTTGATGCATTTGGTAACAGGATTGCAACGACTCCTGTAAAAAAGGTCATTTTTTTCATAAGGATATATTACGTTAGACAGGGGCGGATTTAGGGGGGGGGCAGGCAGACGCCTCCCCCCCCCCCCCCCTCAGGGATTCAGTCCCCTGCTGACGCAAAGGATCCCACCTTTGGTACTTTTTACAAAATCCAGTTTTGGCCGACCAACCCTAAAATTTTTCTAAAGGCGCCTCTGGCGCCAATATATACTTTTGAGGGGGGAGCGCGCGCCGAAAAAAACGCGATTTTTTGGTCAAAATTTTTCAAAAAGTGCATGAAAATGCCTTTTATGGATTGTTTTTTCAAAATTTTGCCTGCGGCGCAGATAATTTTATCAAAACAGAGACTAAACCGAGCTTAGGGAGAGCTCGAAAAATCAATTCGGTCGACCTAAAAAAAAGGTCGACAAAATTTTCGAAAATTTTTTGAAAACCCGCCCCCCCCCCCCCTCGAGAAATCCTAGATCCGCCCCTGACGTTAGATGTGTTAAATGGAATAATACGACACCAATTTGGCAATATTTCTGATGCATTCGAAGTCAGTAGTGTATCCACAAAACCTATGAGGGATTTAGAATTAAGAGTTCTCGGTTGATTTGCAATTAGCAAACCCATATTGACCTCCATGCAAGAAAAATGATTATCATACAATTACATACATGGAGCTTTTGGAAAAATTCGAGTCATACAAGTTCCATATATGGATAAATACTTCTCATAGAGTTTTCAAACAATTTCTGTACGTTTGTAATTGTATGGAAATGATTGAATAACATTTTTATATGTATGAAAGCTATATGATAACCATTTTTGGTCAGCCGGGGGGCCTTCTAGCCATATTAGTCAGATGTTAATTTGCTTTCAAGTGAAAAATCATTCATTGTTGAGTAGAGGTGAAAAGTCCATTTGACATGCAAAATGAATAGCAAAAAAAATCAGCCCAGTTTTTCTCGGCACTGAGAAAGTTTTTCAATTTATTAGATTCAAAATAACGACTGAAAAAGCTTTAATATGGTACCCAACTTGAACCCCTGCATTTTAAGTTCAAGTTAGCAAACCCATATTGACCTCCATGCAAGAAAAATGATTATCATACAATTACATACATGGAGCTTTTGGAAAAATTCGAGTCATACAAGTTCCATATATGGATAAATACTTCTCATAGAGTTTTCAAACAATTTCTGTACGTTTGTAATTGTATGGAAATGATTGAATAACATTTTTATATGTATGAAAGCTATATGATAACCATTTTTGGTCAGCCGGGGGGCCTTCTAGCCATATTAGTCAGATGTTAACTTGCTTTCAAGTGAAAAATCATTCATTGTTGAGTAGAGGTGAAAAGTCCATTTGACATGCAAAATGAATAGCAAAAAAAATCAGCCCAGTTTTTCTCGGCACTGAGAAAGTTTTTCAATTTATTAGATTCAAAATAACGACTGAAAAAGCTTTAATATGGTACCCAACTTGAACCCCTGCATTTTAAGTACCCAGATAATAAAAATGTCCTCACAATTCTGTTTGCATGTGTTTGGACTATTGCCTAGTTAACGCTCGGTTATATTACAAACGTGTACTCGTATGTGCTCTTAGGCGAGCGATTCCCGGCATTCAACCCAATGTGCTCGTTCTTCGTGGGCGTGGAGAGTGGCATCCAGTCGAACAAGGGCGCAGAACTGTTCGTCCGCAGCTCCCTCGAGGAACTCATTCAGGTAAAGAGCAATCGGGGCGACCACGGAATCTTGTACAGGTTCAATAATCGTAAAACTATGTACATAAGAACAAACAAACTTATAAATAAATGGCGTTTTTACACTCAGCTGGCGCAGACGTCTGAGAGATCACCAGAGAATACTATTTCCTAGTTTCAGAGCATTTTAATTATAAAGCAATTAGTCTGAAACGCTCAGGTTTTGTAATAACATTCCAAGCTTCTCAGAACCGCTAAAAACTGATGCCAGTCAATGCAGAATTGTTTTTCAATATTGATCTATGCTAAGCATTCTATGCTGTTAAAAATGCAGGTTCAATATCTTTAATTCACTGAACTAAGATTGACTCGTTTATTCTTTAACGGTTAACAACAATGAATCCAAACATCGCAGACTAAACTTAAGGTTGGCAGGTATTAATTAATTAGTAGCCGCACCAGACACATAGCTAACCAAAGGCGCCAACACGTAATATATGATTAGATACTATATATGACATTCCCTCAACAATCAATTTTCAAACAACTGTTTTAAAATTATCCAACGGAAATGTTTGAGTTTTAGACCAGCGATAGTCCACCCTCTCCCTGGGCATGAGTTTTAGTTTAACAAGTTTCTTGAGTTTCCTTTTTCACTCCCTCTTTCAAATGTGCCTTCCTGCTCAATTAGTGTCCCGCTCTCTGTCTTCCTCTCCTTTGGATGTTCTCGCTTTCAATATACTAACTATCATAACCCCGCCGAATTTAGATACCGCCGTCCGCTTCCTGGTACTTTTCCGTGATCCTGTTCCATCTTCTGATTCTTGACTAGAGTATGATACGAGACGTAAGCGTCGTACTCGTTCCCCTTTCTTTTTAGAATGTTTCCCCCCTCGTCCTTCGTTACTCAAATTTGGGGCACTCCCCCCTTGCTCGTTGCTCATAGTCTGGACCTCCGTGTCCACCCCCTGGGATTTTCCAGCACCGCTTCCTTCGGATAAGTTTGGTCTTCCAATTCCGTCTTCTACATCGTTATTCATTTTTGGTTCATTTCCTTCCACATCTCGCCCTGGTGCTATTGTTGAGTTCCCTGCGTGTTTGGAAATTGTTATTGGCTCGTACTCCGAATCCGAATCGTCCTCCTCCGCTGGTGAAAATTCTCGCACTCTGTTATCAGCCTTACTCTGTGCGCTTGCTTTACTCTGTGTGCTCGTCCCCGCCGCCTGTTTGTTCGCTGCTCGCTTTAGTTCCGCCCGACGTTGCAATGCACTCATAGCTGGGAGTGGTAGTGTTAGCTTACTCGCGGTAGTTGGCGCGTTCGATTTGATGACTTTCTCGGCAACCCCACTTTTCCTTTTATTGCTATCCTTGAGTCGTTGGAACAACAGTTCGGTCCGTTTACTTGGCTGTTTAGACTTTCCCCCACAAGCCTGTTTCCCGTCCCCGTCAGCCATTGGTGTTCCATCCGCCGCCGAAACTAGTTGATTTTGTGTCAGTCGCCTAGGGTGATTCATATGATCGACATCAAAATCCACGTCGGATCGTTCTTCCCAATCCGTTGCCATGGGTTGGATGTTCCTCGGAGCTCTGGGGTCAGTAGAATCTGCATCGGTGCATTCCTTGCATCCATCCGCAGCTGCGACTAAACTCCGGTGGAGATAGGGAAACCAGACATCCCTCGCAGCGTCGAACATACTCGAGCGCCCATGGTGAAACGCATGTATCCGATTAACCACAGCCTTCCTGAGTGGTATGGGGATGACGAGTCGTTCGTCCATCCACAGACAATTTTCCCGCACGTGGAAATCATGTGTGTGCTGTCCGAGGTAGGCACCCATTGCTCTGACCTTCTTTTCCAAATCCGGGTCCTTACTCTCCACCAGTTCTTTTATTGCGCGCATCTGGGGGTCCCCTTTATAGTTCGCTTCCACGAGCTTCAGGTTGAATAGCTCCGGCAGTGCACTGCTTTTGCGGACTATCTTGCAGTCCCGGGGGATTACTGACATGATGACGTTCCCTCCTGCTGGGTATGCCACCGGAAAAATTTCACCTCCGAATGCCGAAGGAATGGAGATGACTGTGTTGCATCGAATGTCCCTGGTGTGATGCGTCTCCGCCTCCAATCGTGCATCCACAATCTCCACCTCGCTGCTACTGCCGCTCGTTATTTGTAGTTTACATTCGGTGATTGACTTTACTACTTTTGCGCTTTCCCGGTCATTACACTCAGCTATTCGTTTTAGTGGCTTCTGATTGGTCAACCGATGGTCACGCGTTTTGACGCCCTCTTCCGGTGGAATGTTAACTTTATCGTTTCCAACTTGAATATCTTTAGAGAAATGTGTCTGCCACTCATCCAGGTCATTGTCCATCGCCACAGTTCCTTCCGTGGTATGTATGCTTTTCACCCCTTCTGTCGATGGTGCTTGTACCAGCATCAGTCCTAGTAAGGGCATTAAATCCCTGCCAATAATAGACGGTCGGCACCCTCCGATGACGTTTATATCCGACGAACAAGTCCATCCATTGGAATGAAGCGTGACTTGCATCTTCCCCAGAAATTTTAACGGATTGTTTCCGTAATCGCGGAATTGGTCGTCTTGTGGATTCAGCGGTTTCAATTGTACGTTGACTGTCCCCAGGGTACGTTTTAGTTCCCCAATAGTGAAAATGGATATTGGCGAACCACTGTCAATCCAGGCTTGAGTTGCTTTGCCGTTGATTCTTAAGGCTAGTTTGGCCCCCGCGACTTTTAATTCTGTTTCCTCCTTCCGCCGAATTGACATAACCACATACTCCGTCGAACTATCCGAATCCCATCCATGTGCCGGTGTCTTTGAATCAGTCAGCCATCCGACAGAACTTCCGTAATTGGATGCACTCTCCTCCGGATAATCTTGGGTAGTCCCGCCATTGGTGTCATCCTCATTTATCATGCCTACGCGACCCCTATTCGCCGATCGACGTCCTCTACAAGTTCGCTCATAGTGTCCCATTTTCTTGCAAAAATTGCAGGTTACATTTCTTGCTGGGCACTTTGGAATGTGGTCCGGGGTAAAACCACTCTGGTCGCAATTGTAGCACTTGCGATCTGCTGCTCCTCCGCGGCCCCTTGTGCCGCCCCTGCCAAATCCACGTCCGCCTCTTTGGAATGGACGACGGTACCCTCCTCTAATTGCGCTTATAGGCTCCGCTTTAATTTGTAGTGAACCCGCTGGTGCCGCAGTAAGTCCCCCACCGGATATTTTATACGACTTTGCGTATTTGTCCCCCCGTTCATATGACAAAGCAATCCGGTAGACCTCATCTGGTGTCTTAGTTGAACGGCATAGCTCCGTTTGGGCTTCCTTGTTGGACATATTTACTATGAATACATCACGTAACACCCGTCGTTCCAATGTTCCCAATGAGCATCTAGCGGCTAGTCCACTCAAAACGGAGTGAAATTCTTCTAGCGTTTCCCCGTCACGTTGTTTCCGAGATAGTAGCTGATACGTCTCGAATGTTTCGTTTCTTTCCTTGCGGAAAACACTCTCAAATTCATCCAAAACCCGTGGATATCGGGTAGTCGCCAGGTCCAGATGGGGCTTCCGGTTATGTAATTCGTCCTGTCCACGTTCCCCCAAACACAAATAGAGGTTAGAAATTAGTGTCTGCTCTGCTTCCACTCGATTTTTCCCATTCACCTCCTCTGGCAGACCGGTAATTTGCGCCTCAGTGAGCGTATTAGCAAAATAAAATGCCGTCGGATTGAATGAATGTTTTGCTATTACACCCCAGGTGAATCGTGTAATCCAATGCTCCCACAACATTGGTGCTTCCGTACATTTACTCGGCCAAAATGCCGTAATTCCCAGTGGATTTTTTCCTGATCCCGCGCTTTGTCCTGCTTGCTGCGCCATGTTAAAAATGCAGGTTCAATATCTTTAATTCACTGAACTAAGATTGACTCGTTTATTCTTTAACGGTTAACAACAATGAATCCAAACATCGCAGACTAAACTTAAGGTTGGCAGGTATTAATTAATTAGTAGCCGCACCAGACACATAGCTAACCAATGGCGCCAACACGTAATATATGATTAGATACTATATATGACAATGCATATGATCTTCATATTAATTCTAAGAAGACTTGAACAAATTAAAGAATTTGGGTTGCAGGCAGACCCGAGCGACAGCCAGCATTTCAATGGAGTGGGTTTAAACATCCCCACCGTCCTCATCCTCATTGGGGGAGACTTTGATACTTTCGAGCGGGCAGCGAATGCAGTGGAGAAGGAGATCCCCATCATTCTGTGTGAGGGAAGTGGACTGGCCACAGACATCATAGCCAGTGGGATCCGAGTCAGTCAGAAGAGTGCAGATTTCAAGCTGAGCAAGGAGCAGGAACAGGTCCTCGTAAAACTCATGGAGACACAACTCAGGTCGGTAAACAATCAAATAAAGAAAAAAAAACTAGAAACGATCATTAAACAAGTGAAGCAGGGACAGATCTATGATTTTCACCGAGTGGGGTGGGGTGGGGGGGGGGGGGGTCGAAAAAGTTGTATTTTTTTCTTTTGGTGGACCAAATTAATTTTCCGAGCTCACTTGAAACACCAGAGACCCTATTTTGACAAAAATTTGCGCCGCGTGCGACTTTTTGTTAAAACAGGTCAAAAATGTCATTTTTGGGCCTATATTGGAAGGTTTTGACTAAAAAAAAATTGCGTATTTTTGGCACACGCTCCCCTAAATTAACATATATTTGCGCCTTTAGAAATATGTTTCAATTCTTTCCAGCAAAACCAGTCAGGGAATTATTTTTATATTGTTTTGTTTCAGCACGAAGCCTCCCAAGGGCAAAATCTTCCCCTCTGCCCTGTTCGAGGGGTCTCGACACCTCCCCTTCTTGCGCAAGTGTGTCAAGCACCGGAAGATGGTCTTCTTCTACCGCATAGACCTTTCAGTCAGTCACCTGGGTTAGTTACCAGGCGATCACGCAACACATTAAACTGTTAGGGATACCTTGATACCTTTTGGAAGACAGACTGCATAGTATGAGTAACTATTCGTCAATTTGCTTAGCGTTTCATTCAAAAACCATCCATAAACCAGATTTGTAGTTCTTCACAGATTTAGAGCCAAAGAGTTTAGTATGAGCATGAGTGTATTGACTACAAGATATTTTAGGAGATCAAAATTATGAGGCATAGATAGTCATTAATCCATCCTGACTTTTTTCGTGTCGTACAATTGTGATAAAGTTTTGCACCAACTATAATGAAACAAAACATGTACATTTGCGGTCTTGAAAATACCGCCTAAATTAAGAAAACTGAACATAACCAACAGCAATTGGCATAGAGTCATTGAACGCAAGTAAACAGACAAAAAATACGGATTTGGTTTTGAATTCCAAAGAAAACAAGACTGCTCGTATCAGGGCGAAGCCCTGAAAGTTCCGACTGCCTTTTAACGTTTATGGAGCAGTAATAACATAAACAACATAAAAAATTAAATGAAATAAAATAAAATGAAAAAAAAATTTTTTTCTAAAATTTGAAAATTTTTCTATGAAAATCATCCACCCACACGCCATATAAAGTACAAAACAATAGATTTCGCTCCTTCTAACAAATCACTTTTGGCAAATAAGCATCTTACAACCAATTTGGAACGATTTCTAAGACGGATTAATTCTCCGCTTACGCGTTAATAGCGCGAATTATATCGCGCGTTAATTGTCCCAAATTGGTCAAAATGGCAATCTTTAAACCCTCATAACTTTACGAAAAATGATCACAGGTGAATTATCTTTTCAAATTTAAGCTCAGGGCAACAATAGCTTTCGAATGATATAAAAAATTTCCGTCAAAAATGGCTAGTTAAAAAGTCGAAATTTGTCTGAAGAAAAAAAAAAACCCACCCCGAGCACAAATATTCCGTTACTTTCGTATCAAAAGTCGGAAAAAAAATAGATGTCCTTAAAGCTCTTTGACGTTCTAGAACATTTTGTGATTGACATTTTTTTGATAAAATTAACCCAATTTGAAAAATTTGGATCAGCTAATAAAATTTTGATTTAGCTTTGAAATTCGATAATTAAATTTCACTTTCGAAACTAGAAGTCGATCACGTTTTTCGTGACATTTACACTTTTACTGTTCGATAGTGGAGTTTTCATTCCTTTCAACAAAGTATATGAACTGAACTTAAAAGGCAATCAAAAGTTCAAACCCCGAAAAAGTAAATTTGAGCCTGAACTAATTTTGAAACTTTTTCTGAAAATAAAAAAAAACGAAAATAAATAAATAAATCATCGCGCTCGATAGAAGAGTCATAACTACGTTCATCGACTGTAAATACATGTGAATGTCTGAATGTCTCATGTAATCCTTAGACGTGGCTATAATGAGAGCCCTGCTCAAAAGTGGTCCTGCGAGGAGGAAGGACCCCGTGCAGTTAGCAGTTCGATGGAACAGGTGTGACGAGGTAGTCGAGGACCACTTGAAGAGTCCCCAGACGGGGCTGGGGGGTTCTAGGTTCCAGCAATCGAGCAGAGGCAGTCCCGATAAAAGACTGGGCATGTTTGGGAAGACGGGGTTTGATATCAACGAGAAGCCTAACATCAAAGAGCTCGTCACTCAGGTAGGCGCCAGTCAGCATTTATGTCATCGAGCACTTAGAGAAGAAGCTGGAAATTGGTGTTAAAAACTTCCAGGGGGAGGGGGGTTCTTGAACATTTTTTGAACAAAAAAGGCGGTTTCATTGCGGGGTTTCAAAATTATTAGGGGCTCCTGCATCTTTGGGTCAACGCTGATGAATATCATGTCAAAATTGAGCCAAAATTTTCTTTAACCTTAATTTGGCATGATGTTTTAGTTTTTCCTTTTGGTCACTGCGTTGAAAATAATTTTTAGGGCTCTTACAAACGTCATATTTTTTCAAAACTTGAATAAATTTTTTATGGTATAAAAATTCTGGTGGAAAAACCTTCAGAGCCCCCAAAATTTGGAGCGGTCAATTATCTAGCGGTGGGGAAGGGGGTTGGGGTCTATAAAGAAGTGGATTTGGTTTGCAGGGTTCCCGACAATTAAAACTACAGTACCGTGATACACAATTATATGTAAAATGAGATGTGTTAGTACTGGCATCACGGTTACAATAATCTATAACGAAATCGACGCATATTCAGCCATATTTTGAGCTAACATGGATGCAAAATTTCAAGCCGCAAAAAATCTGCTAACTGCTGGCAAAGAATACCCAAAATATTTGAAGCGCGTCAAATCCTAGTTAAATGAAATGAAATTTCGGATCAATTTTTCTAGCAGATCGCTTTGCTGGAAAGTAATTGTACCTTAATTGCTAGGCTCTATTGGAGGACAAGCCTGAATTCATCAAGCTATTTCTGGAACATGGTCTGGATATCAGGAAATACCTGACGACGAACCAGCTGGCCCAGATCTACGAGGCTTCCTGCAGCGTGTACCCTCCACTGGTGAAGCTGCTGAAGAAGGCTCGCAATGGAAAAGCGAAGAGCTACTTCAAGATCAAACACGTCTACAATCTCATACACACCTGGACTAGTGCTAGTCTACAGCACCAGCTAAGGTTAATCAAGGAGGGTTTAAACCCAACAAACAGGCTTCTTCACCTCACAACAAAAAAAAACCATTACAGAAAAATACTGGAGACTTTTTTCGGGCGACTTCTGTTCCAACCATGTTACTAAGTAATGGGAAGGAACTATGGCGTAGGGTTGGTTTTTCGTCCCAAATCTAGGAATATCAAAGAAAATTTATAGAGTCAAATGTGTTCTCAAAAGAAAGCTCGATTTCAGGTTCAGATTCCAAAGAGTTCCGAGTCGAAAAAAACTTCCGGATTTTTCCCTTTTTCGAACTTATTTACATGAATCAATCAGAGAGAAAGAAAATTCTATTTAATTTACAGCATTTTAACACAATTTAACTATAATAAACTCATTATTGCGTAATATTATATAATTGAACCCCCTCATCGCAAACAAAAACGTTTTTGCAATTTCGCTGATTTTTCTACAATTTTTTAAAGTTCTAGCAAAAATTAATGTGGCCGCAAAACTCTGTGATACTTTTAATACACGATGTGATACTTTTATCCACGAGCAGTTGCGGATTTAGGGGGGGGGGCAGACGTCTCACTAAGGGATTCGACCCCCTGCCGTCACGAAGGGTCTTCCCTTTGTACTATTTTAAGATATCCAATTTTGGCTGACTGACCTTAAAATTTTTCCAAAGGCGCCAATTTATACAAATTTTGAGGGGGGAGCGCGCGCCGAAAAAGCGGGATTTTTTAGTCGACATTCTCCAAAAAGTGCCTAAAAACGCATTTTTCGGCTATTTTAAAAAAATTTACCAGCGGCGCAAAAAATATTGTCAAATTAGGGTCTTTGTACTGATTTGAAGAGCTCAGAAAATCAATTTGGCCGACCTAAAAAAAGGTCACAAATCATGGTGGACCTCTAACTACCAGTGCAAATCAGTGATTCTGACTCATCTTAGTTTTTGATAATTTTTAATTAGAACCATTCCCGACAACCGAAACACCCCTGGAAGGAGGAGCTCTGGAGATGGGTGGAAGGGGAGAAGGGGACGGAGAAATACAGTGCGGGAGCTGAAGACATTTGAGGACCCCTTCAGAGAACTGTGCATCTGGGCTATTCTGACACACAAGATGGAGATGGCGCTCTTCTTCTGGTCAAGGGCAAAGGTCAGTCAATTAACATCTCATCGAACACTTTCACTCGCACTTTTATAACACTTACGTGAATAATCTTATACTGGTGTGATTACCGTGCTCTACTACCATTCTGATCAGGAGGGAATCAAAGATTTCTGCGTGAGGTACATATTTTAGATACAGAATAGAAGCGGAACTTCGTGCCACTTGCGATTAAATCTCTTATAATCAAGGTCAAAAGAAAAAACATGACTACGAGCACGCTGCTAGATATTCTATGTTTTTGGGGAAAAAATTAAAACGATTTGAGGAGAAGAACGAACAACTCTCTCATGATTCATTAAGGTTCATTTGCATAAAACCCACGTGAAGAACTCATTTGTTAAAAACACAAAGCATTGCTTCTCTTGCATACTTGGCATTCTTTAAACAGCTAACTAAAATGGAGACCAAAAAGTGAGTTTTCGTAAAACAAATCATCGGCCAAGAAAATTGCAGTAACAGTAGCGGATTTATGGGGGGCGGACGCCTCGCTCAGGGATTCGACCCCCTGCCGACCCAAAGGGTCCCCCTTTGTATTTTTTTGAGAATAATGGCGAGAATATTGGTGAGATGCCCTTTGTACTATCTGGGCATCATTGAATTGAAAGCACAACAAATTTGCAAAAAAAATCAGATACAGTCATTACTCGAATCCCTGACCCTTATTATGGACAATCACAATCACAAATTTTGTGGCTTGAAATTGTTTTGGTTATGAGGGAAGTTAAAAATGATTCATTGACTCCGTTAGAGAAATTTTTCTCCGGAAACGTCTAATCTCCGATTTGATAACAGTTGCTAATAGCTTGACTCGCTTTCATTTTGCTGGATAGTGGAGCCACCAGTACCCTTGCAAAAGTTTTGGAAAATGTCAGTCAAAAACTTTTGATGAATGAAAATTCTACACAGAGACGAAGCGGAGCTGAAACTACAATAAACAACACTTGCAACTATGATGAGAAAATTGCTTACAGCAAAAGAAAAATCGTGATGTGATAAATAAGCCGACAAAACATGAGCAAATAAACGAAATTCCGAAAGCTCAACTTTTACCAGAAAAAAATCCATTTCATACGTACTAAAAAACAAGACCTGACCGGGACTCGATCCTAGATCTTAGGGTGCAAAGGCAACCACATTACCTCTATGCCAAATGGGAACGAACTTGGAATTTGTTAAGGTTCATTAATAACTCAAGTGAGGAACGCAAGTAAGATTTCTAAGAAAAGTTTTTTACGGGAAAAAAGTACTGTTCCCGATTACAAGACACTTGCTTTCGCATGTGTAAAAAGAATCACCTATGAAGTTATTTTTAAGACTATGAAGTTATTGGGGTTTAAAAACTGCTTTTTTGACTTTTTTTTAAAAGAAATTAACGCACGATCGATATATATTTTTATCAATAATGTTATCAATTGTTTTCACAAGAAAAATTTTCTTCGATTTTGAAAAACAGCTGGTTTACCTAGATATTCGAGACTTTTTAGGAGTATATTGATTTAAAGTCTTAGAAACATGGTGGCCGTGATTACTGTCTCACAAATTTCAAAATATTTTACGTCTTTTGACGGAAATAGATTGAGTGTTTCATTTGCGACTACTTACTCTTCAACGATAGGCAGTAATCAATCATATAAAAAATCTGTAGTCGGGTAACCTTCATTCCAGCCACCCATGAGTGAAGGAATAGTGATTCTGGCATGATTTTTAACAAACAATAGAGGAAAGCTGGTTTTAAAATAAGATAGTCAAGTAATACTGCAAAAACGACAAATGATCGATAAGAGACTAATATCGCAACGATTTTTCAATTTTGTTTTTATACCTTCCGTTCTCTTAATACGACGTGACTTTTTTCTGTTTCATCCATCAATTCACATTCTCTACCCCCAAACCAAACAATCTATTCAGAAATCAATGACTGCTTTTACGTATAAACTAAAACTAATTGAGCTAATACGTGAGAATCGATTAGCTTTAGGATCCAATAAATTGAGGTCCAGAATTTTTTTCTTCAGCATAACAGTGTTTCAAAAATTCACGGCTAACTACCTTTCAAATTCAGGACTCAGATTTCAAATCTTGTTCAAGAGTTTTTCACTAGAACGATTTATTAATTGACTAACTAGTAATTTTGAATAAACAAAGATCAATTAAAAACTAAAAACATCAACTTAATTTGTTATAAAAACAGTCCATGGTGCAAACTATAGGTTTAAACAATTTTGTCGAACCGATAAATTTTAAGCAGTCTATGTCTTAGTAGTCTTGTTAACCATTCAAAATGTTATTATGAAGACGATCCCAAATTGATCCATTTTCATCTGAGGCTGCTGTCGGTGATTGCAACTGCAGACCATTTGAAGCTGAATTTGATTGGATAGCTATTTGATCAGTTGCAGGCACTAACATGAACCCATTAATTTCATTCGCGATTGGGTCCGGCATGTGAATAGCTGTACTTGGTGATTGGACTTGACCAGGTATCGCAGGAGGTAAGGATGGAACTGAGACGATTATCGAGGAATCGCCCGTATGCGCAAACTTGGTTCCCTTCAGCAACATACTTATGGATTCCATGTCCAGCTTATGTTTATTCGTGTAATGCTTTCCTAGAGATTGTTTCTGTCTAGTCGTGTAGTTACAAAGAGCACAACTTACCACTAAACTTGAGTGAGCGTTTCGCACATGCATATACATTAGATTTTTCTTGTAAGTCTGATAGTTACACTTGAAAACACTACATTTTAACAGCCCATTTTTATCGGCATTTGATACTGTGTTCCTGTATATATACAACTGATTCGCCCTTAGGCTCAACTTCGCATCCAAGTCTTTGACATCGATTTTGTTGGGAGATTCTTTCTTCCATACCGTCTTTACTATTCTCGGAGTGAGGTTAGGAGGTTTGTCCTGGTTCGGAGAGTTCTCGATCACCTGAACCGGGGATTTTCTCTCTGTCAATGCAACCGGCCTCGGTCTAATCAAGCGGGGCGATGTTTTCGAACATACGGGACCCAAATTTTTACTGCGCTGCAAGTTGTTCTCAAAATACTCAGATGTACTGGTTTCTACGGGAGATGTGAACTCGTCTTTCGAAGGTGATTGGTTCATACTGAACATTGAATCGATTGATCCGTGCAGTTCGCGGATCAGATGTTCATAAGAGGGCTCATCTTCAGCAGAGCGTCCTCCCAAAAGAGTTCCTCCGTTATTGTCAAATAGCATAGACGATGGTGCTGCATCGTTAGATACATCGCCTTGGCCAACTGCAAAACCTGGTTCATCAGGCATGGATTGCGAGAAGCAACTGCGTTGTTCACTTTGAAATTGCGGCGAGACCATGTCTCCACTGATCTGTTCACCATCAACTCCGTCGTCGCATTGACCACCGGAATCCTTTAAAGTGAAATCGAAACTATTGAACGGGCTTTGGAAGTCCTTTTGCATAGCAGAGTGGTCCAAATTTCCATTACCAGGCCGACTGATTTGGCTTTTCATATTCTGAGACCTACTTAAGGAGCGATTTGTTTCAGATGAGCGCGAACACATCCTCATAGAAATGGTTCCAAGTTTGTTCCTGGTTTCAACACTTTCGTCTATGATAGAAAAGGTATTTTTCCACATGCACTCCCCCACTTTCAAACCATCCCCCATCTCGCCTTTTCTGCCTTGACCTTGGCATTGCTCTTCGTTCTCGTTTTCTCCTCCGTTCTCGTGTGCTTTGCGGTTGTGGGCTAAATGATTCAGCAGCACTGTGCACAGAACTGAGCTGTCGAAGCTGAAGGAAAAAGTCAATTCGGGAAAAGATAGAGGACCACTGCGCAAGCTATCAAAAGCGTTACCAGTACTATGATAATGATCCATGATTCTATTACCTAGAAAGAAATTGACAAGTAAATTAAGACGGTAAGTTTAAAGCAAAGCCATCTACGTACAGTCATTTCAAATAATCAGGGCTAAGGTGAAATGGTCTCGCTCACTCAAATGAACCGCTGAAAAAACATGAAACTTAGTAAATTTATTTTTTCTTCCAGGTAACAACATTATTTACTATCGTTTGTACTTGTTTTCATTTTAGGTAGTCTAAAAATATATACATAAGGTTAAGGTAAAATATGATATTTATGACAATATTGGCTCGACCCTTTTCGGTCAGGCACTCAGAAGGAATACACGAAAATTTTAGAAGCATATTGATTTATACTAATCAATTCAACTGATAAACTTATTGCATTCCCGTACTAGCTAGAATAAAATCATGGCCAGTTTAGTTCATACAGGTCACTGAAAGTAAAAAACGTCGGACAAATGTTAATCTTCAGCGTTTCCATGAATGGAAAATGCTTTTCGAAAGAATCTCAACAACTTTACGGTTTTTGCGCCAAAACTCATGACTGTAATTATAAGATGACCATGATTATATGTAGCTGCTTGAACATATGCGGTTAGTTGGTGATGTACAATATTATTTAACTCCATTCAATGGAAGATAATATAATTGGAATGGAACAGCAAAGAATTAAGAAGACATAAAAATTGCATGGAATTAAAATGAGTTGAAATAGCGAAAACAGTTTAGTATGAGATTGTTTTAATATGATAGAAAGAGCGCTTGGTCTGATTTCAAAAACCGTCAGAGCAGAATTTCCCCTATATTCAGTGTGTACATAATCTAGACTGATCGTTCTATCGTTGGATATCTTTAGCTGGAGGATGGAACACTGCATTGTCCAACATGAACTTGGTCTCTTCTTCTCCCAATTTGTGTTTCTTCATGTAGTGCAACTTCATAGTCTGTTTCCATTTAGTCGAATAGGAACACAGCATACAACCTACTTGAATGCCCAAATGGTTGCGGCGAATGTGGTTAAGAAGATAGGAGTTTTTGCGTGTCCGGAACTCACACGTCGGACAGGCGAACTCCAGCGACCTGCTAGAATAACTTGCAGGGTGGTGTCTGCTGCTGTATGCATTCACAACAATTTGGCTTCTATCTACTTTCTTTGCATTCGGTTTGATCTTTCTATAGCTTGGACACCTCTGCGGGAGACTTGCAGCACCAGATGATGATGGTGATGATGTTTGAGATGTTGTAATTGGAAGCGCCTCATTTGAGTCACGCAGGATATGTGTGCAGTTTTCTTCTCTATTTGGGTCTTGGTTTTGCCACCTCGTAAGCACTTGTATTAATTCTCTGTCAATAAATGACGTTTCTTTGCCAGCAGTTGGAGCTGTCTCGTGATATGAACTGATAAGTTCATGTCCCAAACCATAAGGCGAATTTTCTGTACTCGACTGCAATTTGTCGGACCTGATCTTCGTTGCTAACGGCGCTACATTATTTGACCCAATGTTGTTGATCAAATTTCTGCTTTCGAAATCACTTTCGATTGAAGTTTTAGCAGGAGATCTCTTCGACAGACAAAACTGTTGATAAGTATCTGTCTCTTCATTCTGACAAGACCTTTGCAGGCTTTGAGTTGTTGCAAAAACCGAGAACTCCTCCCGATTTTGAGATTCTTCTGCAACTAAGTTCAAGGGTGTCACTTTTTCTACGAATGATGCTGGTTCGTGGAATGAGGCTTGTTCCTCCTCCATATCGAGATCAGCTTCTATTTTGATTTCATTCTTCTGTTTGTTTGATGGTGATTGAGACTTGAGACCTGGAGATTGAGAGGAAGATTGGAGATGGTTTTCTAGAGACTCCAATTGACATTGGATCCGAGGCTCTGGTTCCGCGTTTGAGGCCATTTCAATCTTTTCGGACGTGGAGTTCTGATCGCCTTTGTATTGAGATAAGTCAAACTTGATAGACAAGTCACCAAATTTTTCGCCAGACTTTTCGTCTACAACAGAGAAGAAATTACCCTCCCAGTCTTCGGAAGGAATCGCATCATCTGAGACATCTTTCTTCTTATTGATTTTCTTGCTGAAGAAATTGGAGAAAAGAGCATCATCGAAAGAGATAGAAAAAGTGATAGCCATTATGCAGCCTGTTTAAATCGCCAACATTAAGAAAACCTGAAAAAAAATCAATTAAGTGCAGTTAATTATTCAAACTAATTGAGTCAGAATCAATTCAATAACTGACTTCATTATAGAAAAAAATGGGAAAACGGTCTCCGTTGTCATACTTAACAAATATCAAATCTGTAGTGAGCATTTAAAGTTTTACAGTAAAGATTAATCTTCCACGAGGGTCAAGGTAAAAATCCCAGCATCGACCATGATAGGCGTCGAACAAGCGACGATTCGATAAGAAACGGATACCTTAGCCACTTTTCAGTTCATATTGATTTTAACTCCTAGATACATAGCAAGTTCTCATAGTTTTTGCGTGGTTTCAGTCGCCCCTGATGATGGCGCTGATTGGATCCCGACTGTGGGAGGCACACAGGAGTGCTCTTCCTCAGAGGGACGAGGAGATCCGACTGGAGATGGAGGCCAACTCACTCCATTTCTCCCAGCTGGCCCAGGAGATGATAGAACTGAGCTGGCAAGTGAACAAACAGATGGCCCAGCAGCTGGTCACCTACAAGTTCAGGGCTTTCGGAAGAATCAACGTCATGGACCTTGCCGCTTTCATTGTTCGTAACAAAATTTCATGAGAGCAATACATTTCTCATTATTTGCAAAAAAAAAAACTTATTTAAAAAAAACAGCATTAAAGTCTACATATGAAAATGATGAATACTTCGCGTTTGAGATTTCATCTCATAAATATTTAAAAATATTCAGGCAATGATTCAGCACAGGGTATTACAAGAGGCATCATTCCGGGCTACAACATCAAGCATGGTATCTGAAAGATCCCTCCCTCATTTACAATTTCTTTCTCCGCTCGATGATATCATTGATATAATCATGTTCAATGGTCACTTTCAGGAAGCGAAGGAGATCATCGCACACCCCCTGATGCAAGTGGCCATAGACTACATGTGGAAGGCAGGCATGAGGGCCAGTCTGCAACAGGTGTTGTTCACCTTCCTCCTCCCCGTCCTGCTGCCCTTCCGAATCCCCATATTCTTCCGGGATAGTTCTGATGCGAACCCTAAGCTAACTCAACCCTCGCCATCATCGTCCCCAAGTAACCAACTTGAGGAAGGATCCCCTTCAGATGAAACAAGCGGCGGTGGATGCCATGAAATCGACGAAGAAGAGGAACAAGAGGATGAGGACGAGGGAGAGGAAGAAACTGCGTTCCTGGATCAGAATCATCAGCAACAACACACTCCCATCAGGAAGATGAAACCAATGATGCACAGACCTCCCAGCATCAGCGAGTTCCTACAGGTAGAGCTATACAAATACACAGCTCCAATGACAAGTAAACGCCAGTAACCAAGTAATCTATTTAGTCCGTGCTTTCTTCCAATTTTTAAGGCGGAACATGCCACGCCACAAGTTTTTGGCTAACTGAGCGAAAAATATCAAAAGCTAAAATACTTTTTATTTCAGAAAACAGCACTCTGGGCCTTGATTTCATTCTCAGTCTACCAAATTGGAACTAAAGAAGCAAAAGTTTCAAAAAATTTGAATACTAAAACTTCTTTGCTTTTTCTTATTAGCACTAATTTAAGTTTTGTAAGCATTCTTGCCGGAGGAGGCCCAGTGAACAAGCGATTTGTTCACCATTTCCAAATTGTTCACACCAATTGACGCCAGACTTCTCAATGCCACTACAGGTGCACTGTTCGTCCCGTACATTCTGTATATCAAATCACAGAACAACTGAGTAGTCAAATTATGCTTCTGTGCCTTTCTCTCATACTCGAGTAAACTAGAATATTTTCCCGGATTCTCCCCTTTTCCCAGTGCTTCCTCAACCTGCGTAGACAAAACTTCGCAATCGAGTAGACTCAGATTTGCACCTTGACCGGCCAAAGGATGAATTCTGTGCGCTGCATCACCTATTAGGGCAATATTTGGTTGCACATAGTGAGAAGCATGGCCAAATCCAACGGGAAAAGTGGCGAGTGTTGATTTGTCGACCGATCTGATCATCGGAGGTTTCGGCTCCTCAGCTTCTGGGCTTCCAGTGATTCCGTTCAGACCTCTTGACAATATTTTAAGCGCCCCAGTAAATTGAAAATTATCTCCATAATCTTCACTCCAATAAGCATTTAATTGTTCTACAATTTCACTTTCAGTTTTCGTTATTAGCTCGTCCAAATTGGACTTTTCTGCAAATAGTACCAAAGATGCTGTATCTCTATTGAGAGGTAGTGACGCAATAGGTCCCGAAGGTAGAAATCTCTGCCAAGCAGCCCTGTTTCCATCGGAACATTCGACGCTGAGTGTTCCGACCAGTGCATGATGATGATATTCATGCTGGTAGCATTTCATTTTTGCTAATTTCCTCACGTTCGATTTGTAACCTTCAGCTCCAACTAGTAGACTAGTTTCGATCGTCTGTCCACCCTCAAGTGTCAATTGGATTGATGATTGATTGCGTTGGATACCTGTGATCTCGTTTTTGTTCATGCTTACTGTGTCGGTGACCTTGTGGGGACTGTCTTGAATGACTTTTAGGAGACTTGACACGATCACTTCACTTTCTAAAAAGTGTGCCACTGGCTTCTGAAACAGAGTTTTATCCAACTAACAAACCAATGAAACACCCAGCAAACCCACTGTCATTTCAGAATGATTTTTAATTTTTATTTCCCTAAAATAACCGACCTAGTTCTAGAGTACAGCTTGATTATTGTTCCGACTTTCGATACGAAATAAAAGGAATACTTGTGCTCGGGGTGGGTTTTTTTCTTCAGACAAATTTCGACTTTTTAATTAGCCTTTTTTGACGGAATTTTTTTAATATCATTCGAAAGGTATTGTTGTCTTAAGCTCAAATTTGAAAAGATATTTCACCTGTGATTGTTTTTCGTAAAGTTACGGGGGTTTAGTGATAGCCATTTTGGCCAATTTGGGACAATTGACGCGCGATATATTTCGCTCTATTAACGCGAAAGCGGAGTCTTAATCCGTCTCAGAAATCGTTCCAAGTTGGTTAAAAGAAGCTTATTTGCCATTATTGATTTGTTTCAAGGAGCGAAATCTATCCTTTTGTACTTTATATGGCGTGTGGGGGGATGATTTTCATAAAAAATTTCAAAATTTTTTTTATTTATTACCTTTAATTTTTATAGGTTATCACTGCTCCAGAAACCTTAAAAAGCAGTCGGAACATTCAGGGCTTCGCCCTAATACGAGCAGTCTTGAATTTTTTGAATTGACTATTTTTGATACAATTTTAAACAAAATGGGTTAATATTATGGATAGCCTTTGACATTCTGATTTAAATCTGCATTAGCGTTAACTCTATTCTCATACTAGCCTCGATTCTTTCATCCGATTCGAGTGAAGAGGAAGGAAAAGATGTGAAGCCACTTGGAGACTTCGAGTCCAGAGTTACCATTCTGTAGGCTGGCCAGTGTCTGTACTCGTCACACACCACCTGGAAAATAAAAAAAACTAAATTTCGATTGTTTTGGATACACACAGTCTAATATTACAACAGGCAGTGTTATTAGAACTGCTTTCTACACAATATGTAATTGCATCTATTTGAAAATACTCGTCGAAATAGATTAAGTCAACATTTACTCGGTTTTGCAATCAGTTTTAATTAGTTTCTGGAACGTACCTCCCACGCCCCTGTCCTCTGCAGCACTTCCAATGATGACTCGTTCAGAGCATAGATCCTGTTAGAATAGGGTCTGCTCTTTTCACTCCTGTTTCCACCCTCTTCTTTGGGATCCATAGCAGGAAGGATGTTGGGAAGAGTTCTGTCCAACACCAGAACTGATCGAGACCTGTTGCACATTGATTAAAAAATAATTAAAAATCAGGATACAAGACTAAATATTGATGCCACTAAATATGAAAACAAGAAATTAGACGTATTCAAAATCATGCAAACAAGTACTATATTCTCGAAAAAAAACTACAATTAGAGACGCTGATTCGAAAACTAAATTAGACAAGCAAACGAATCCTTATCATTCTTATTAAAAAATGGGAGCTCCAACTTAGTGGTCTGACTTGAATAGTGGACTTTTCTTGAGTAGTGCAGCCAGTCCCAGTCCAGACACTCCCGCGCCACTAATGACCACATCGTAGAAACCCCTCTTCATTGGCGCAAATGTCAACGCAGTTGATTCTACGCTAATTATACAGCCATAAAATCTGAAAATTAAATTGCGTGAATGTCGACGATTGCTGCTGGCATTAACCTTCCTTATCGAAAGACCAAGTAACTACACACACAGATCGGTCCTAAACATTTTGATAACTATGACAAAGAAGGATATAAACTTAAAAAATCAGCCAAGAACCCACAGATCTAAATTGCAGAGGTCATAGACATGTATAAACTTATAAACAAATACTATCTGATATTAACAAGTCCAAACTGCAATAAATGACTGAGCCCTAATGCTGATTTTTTTCGCGGGACTTTTGCCCTCCACAAATTTTGCCCTTCACTCGGGAATGAGCTTTGTGTGCGAAATATTACGAGAGAAAAATGAGGGCAGAAAACGCGATTATCCGTTTTTATGAGAAAGTATGTGTTTGAGTATAGGAGGACGAGCGAACTCAGCGTCTGTTGAAAGCGAAGCGGGAGTTGATTCGGAAGAGTGAGGTGGCCAAAATGGAGGCTCTGCGGAGGGAGAAGAAAAAGCTGTTGGAGACTGCCAAGGAGGGAGACGTCGACGTGTTCGCAAGGGCCGCCATCGCTCTACGCAAGATACAGCTGTTAGTAGCCTCATTCTTACCCAAAAAAAATACACTCGGCACAATCCTCGCGCTTGGCCGATGACAAAGTATCAATCAATTGAAACAAGTATAAAAACTAGTTCCTAAACTATAACGTTTCCAAGTTAAACAGTTTCATTACGAATTCGGTCAAAAATCATTGATTGGTTCTCGGGTGTATTCTAGTTTTTCCCCACGCAAAATCAGCTATCAAAAACAAATATCAGAATGTGTCGAGTGCTACTTCTTCTAAAGGCCTTTCAATCGTGATTCGAGCGACACGAAATAATTTCCAAAAAAAATTCTTTTTCGAGCTTCATTAAGCGCTTACTTGGCAATAAAAATGGCGCACAACATAACAAAAAACTACCATTGATTTTTTCAATTTTTTTGTTTTCTTATTCATTTTTCTAAGACAACTTGCCTAATTTAATAATGTTCTAAGCTTTAGATAAGTTAGTTCCTCTCATCGCAGTACATACAAAAAACGACACAATTTCGAAAAGGAAAAAATGTTTTTTAAAGCTGTTGTATATAACAAGGTCGGAAACTTCTGTGCTACATGCACACCGACCGGCTACTCTTGTTTCTCTTTGCTTTGCAAATATGCGTAAACATGTATCCTAATACTTGTCTGATTTAAACAGTAGCCAGCGAAAAGACCACACCTCAAACGAACTCTCGGCCACAAATCACGTGAACTCAAGCACATCGTAAGTATGGCAGTCAAGGGAATCCCTCATGTCAGAAGCACCGAATGCCAGAAGAACGGAAAAATTTGCCAGCCAATCAGAATTCAGTATTCACAAATTATTAAAAAAATAAACTAGAAAAACAGTCAAATTTGGACAGTTTAGAGCTGAGTAAGAATTAAGTTTTAAGATTAACCGTTGATAATTTTTGCTCATTCGGTCCTTCTCTCAAGAGAAGAGCCCCGAGGGCAGCCAACCAAACAATCATGTGTAGTATGTCATATACTACCTTGTACATTCTTTGCGGACTATGGGTAGGAGCGAAATCAAATTCTGAAAGGGTTAATGAAAAAGTTTCCGATTATTTCTGGCTTCCTTAGCAAGCTTATTCTCTCATTTATGGAAAAACCATGGCAAATATGAGCAACCAAAAATAGGAGCTCGACTATAACTTAAACCTGCAACCATCAGACATATACTAGAACAATCAGTCAAAATCAGTGTCTTTGCCTTGCGGCACATTCTAGTTTATAAACGTGGAATAAAGCGAATTGAGTTATTTGATGTCGTACTATATTGGTGTGCACAACACAACAGTTTGCCATGTAATCGGGTTCTCATCATCTGTAGACTATCTTCAAATTTACTGTAGACAACTTAACAATGCAGCTGCACAGAGAAGGTCTTTTTCTCGACTCTGACACCAATTTTGAAACACCAAGTATTGTTCCGACCATTTCACGAAGCGCTGAAGAGCTATGCCTCAGGGTGTTTTGCACTCGATTTGATACACCTTACGATAAATTTCTTCAAAAAGTTTTTTGTTCCATTTCTTCAAAAAAAAATGGAAGCAAAAAAACGTTTGCGTTTTTATTCCTTTAGTTTGCATAGCTCATTGTGGTCGGCACATTCTGTGGAATTGCAACCGTCTAATTTTCTTGTGTGCTATTTGTCAGAATCAAAGAAAAGGCGATGAAGGATCAGTTGCGTCGTGGTGCCAGACGAGACAGTGAGTCCGACTCCGACAGCGAGCAAGAGGGGGTAGGAGGAGAAGGTGCAGGAGAGGGGGAGGCGGGAGAGGGAGACAGTGGGGGTGAGGAGGGAGTAGAAGGGACGAATGGGGTGCGAACTGGTACTTTGCACACTCTGGACACCAATGAGTCGGATATGGGGGAGGGGGACTCGGAAGGCGAGATGAATGAGAACGAGAATGAAAATGACACTGACATCTGCAAGTACCAGGCGAGTTACCTCGAGACACTCATCTAATGAAGGCTATTTTTGATAAAGCAGAAAAAATCAACTAATAATTACTAAAAAAAGTACTAGCGAACATTTACATGTGACTTAAGGCGGTACCCTATACAATTTCATTGATAATATGAAGTTAAATCCTCGGCGGTTATTAGGTAGGCAGCCAGAATAAGGAGTCTATAATTTGTTAGTTAAAACAGAACATAAGAACGAAAATTAGTGAACCGATTCGTTCATTGCTGCCAAAAACATCTGTATGATTTATACGCCTGCAACGCAGATGTTCACAGAAAAAAAACCAATGCAATTCCGATTGAATCCTCCTTGACAAAGCCAAGTGTAGAGCCATTAAATTTTCAGGTGCATCATTTGACTGACGACGAAGACTACCGGATGCACGTTAACGAATACAGACAGAGCAGAGATGTCACCACGGAACAGAGTTTGGGCGGGAGCAACACGGACACCAGTCAAGACCTGGTCAGTCCCTCGTCTCTCGGTCGTCAGACTCCACAACAGCAGGGCCATGCCCACGTCCAGCAGACACCTCGATTCCTATCCGTGAATAAAAAGCCTCGACAATCCAAGAGAGACAACAGTTTGTCGATTCAGATGGGCGCCCCGGGCGGAGTTGAAGACGGGGACACCAAAAATGCACTGGTTATGAAGGCAGCACATTTGTTCAAGAATAGAAGAAGCACTATAGGTATGTTAGAAGCAATACCTATTTTTGTTTACAAAAAAAAGAGCTGATATCATCAAATTCTCCTCTGTTACATGTTCTATATAGCCAGCTCGATTTTGCAATTGCACGTAACCGAAAAAAAAGCAGTTTAGACGATTTTAAAAACGATTATTTGCACCGGCCCTGCCCACTGCAAGGCTTTGCTAGGGTAAGCAGGTATCATCTATTTCGTGGTTGCCATTCCCAACTTGAGGCGGATGACTTTGGGAACTCTCTGACTACACAAGTTGGGAAGTAGGCACGGCACCATCAAGGCATGGGCGAAATGGTCACCAACAAGAAATGAAATAACTCTGTCGGCAGTTACAAACAAAAACATGAAAACTGAGATTAATGTTCTTTCACTTTCATTAAATGCGGGCTTATAGATATTGTTGTCTACAGACCAAGGAAAAGAAGACGACAGCTCTAAGAAGGGCAAAGACATCGAGAAAGGCGACGAGAAAGAAAAAGAAGCAAAGGAGAAGGAGGCGGCTAGACTCGAGGCACTGAAGACGAAGTGTTCCGAGTTGAAACCAGAACCAGACGAGGACTCGGAGGTTTCTGTAGTCTCTGCTGGTCAGATGTTGATGACATTCTACACTTCTCCCATCTCTAAATTTTGCATGCACACCATAGCGTATTTGGTGTTCCTCAATCTGTTCACGATTTCCACATTCGAGACTGGACAAGGCATGAGGTCAGCACATGTTTACAAAATTTTTCACCTTTGCAGTTTACTCAAAAGGTGACTTAGTTATTAAAACTACAGGCCAATAGCAACAAAATTAACAGACATTCATCATGATCATATTACAAAAATAAAACAACGATAAAAATAGAAAACCAGTTATTTCGAACTTTTTTTAAAACAAAAAATTTGAATAAGGAGACTTAAAACAAAGATATCATTTCTGTCATGAGCCTCAATTTGCCATCTTTATAGGTCCATCTGGGGCATAATGAGTTTCCAGTTCATGATCTGCTATGCTCTGGAGGCCTACCGGCAACTGGTCACCCAGAGGGCCAACTGGGGCATGAAGCTGCGCATTTGGGCCATGAGCGAGTGGAACATCATAGAGCTAGTATACCTGAGGTACTTCAATTCATTTTTAACTCCGATATAAATAACTATCCATGTTGGAAGCATAAATGGAAGGATCAAAACTAGAAGAGAATTCCATTGAGATGTTTTCTGGAAAAGCTGTGAAACAATCACCGGTATCAATGGATATCTATAAACTTAAATGATTCAAGGTGATTATTCTGGCGTTAAATTTTGTCTGATTTTCAGCATGGGTCTAGTGTCCTTCCCTCTGACGTCCTGGGAGGCCACACGAAACACGGCCATAGTGATGAACTGTGGCATTAACATGCTCATGTGGATCCGATTGTTGCGCTTCTACCAGTGCAGTTCCCGCCTGGGACCCATGTGGATCATGATACGCAAGATGATGGCCGAGACTCTATGGTTCATGGCCATCATGGTCGTTCTGCTATTTGCCTTCGGAATCTTCATTTTCGCGGTCAATGTGCCCCAAGATAGCTACAGGTTAACTCATATCATCTTGCTGTTTATTTAGGAACATTTGAGAACCTACATAATCAAAAAAGACGACGCACTATTTCTGATAGTAGTTTTAACGATAAAGATTTTAAGTTGATCGACAATGAAATCATACGACTCTCTTTTCGATCACTTATTTGGTTTTTTGTTGTTTTTTTTTGGCTAAAAAACCGAGTTTTAGGGAAGCACGATGTCTGAGCGATCTGCACCAGGGTGATGAGTCTACAATGAGTTCCAGTTCTACCATCGCTTCTCTTATTAGTGGGGGAGGTGGGGGCAAGCACAGATCGAGCAAGCCGACAAGCGTCGCCAGCTACAGTTCCGTGGCGCCGCATGACAATTCGACCTCGCCGTGTGAGAATCTACAGCCGCTGTTCTGGGCCAAACCGTCTTACATCTTCCTCAGACCCTATCTCATGTCGCTCGGCAACCAGTTCCTCGACTGGACCTTCATGGGTCCCCATTTCCGCTTCACGACCTGGATGTGTTTCTTTTTTGTCGTAATCGGAAACGCTCTCATGTTGAACTTACTCGTTGCCATTTATGGTGGAATATTCAACGAGATAGTTCAGAAGGCAGACATGGAGTGGAAAACTGAGATGTATTGGCTCATGAAGGACTTTAAGAGCAAGACGTTTTTGCCCCCACCTATTTCGATCTTTGAGACCATCGGCTTGTGGTTGCACTTCGTCTGCATAGAACGGAAACGACCAGTTCCTACTAAAAGTAGCGAAGAACAGGACAAAATAGCTTCGCTGGCTATACTGGAAAGCTACTGCGTGCAGACTGTGCTGGATACAAGAAACAGGGAAAAGACTTCTCTAGACGTTACCAACGGGGTGATACGGAACAGAGAGATCAGTTGTGGAACGATCCAGGAGAGTATCCAGAACGTGCACGAGCTTCGCACTGAGCTCTCGAATCGAAAGCACGAGCGAGAGGAGAAGCGGAGAGAGAGACGAAGAATCACTGCCAAGAAAACTTAAATACTTTCGTCACACGAAGTCACAACGAACAATTAAATCTACCAGGAGTAGGGTAGGGTAGGGTAGGGTAGGGTAGGGTAGGTTTTCACATTGGTCAAGGGTTACTGAATATTTTTGCATGATCTGAAAATTTGTAAAATTTTTAATAAATTGGCGAAAGGTTTATATTCTTTTAGTAAGCTTGAACATTTAAATTTTGCAATTGACATTTTTTTTATCATTTAACACCACTTGCAATAAGGAACAGTTACCAATAAGGTAAACCAATTTTATCTTATGCATATTTGATACAGAGGCGAAGCGGAGCTTCAAACCACTTACGATACAACACAAACAAACAAAAAACAAGTCGAAAAAACTTACAAATGTTGAAAAAAACTAGGTGAACCAAAATTTTCGGCGAGGGGCAAAACTAAAGCTGGAGGCATGTGTTTGATATTAAATGAATTTGCTATACTGATGCGGCACGATAAATGTGATTTCAAAAATTGGACTTTACCCAAAACCTTAGCTAAAGGAGACTTTAAATAAGTGCGAAGGGTAAGAAATTTTGAGATAATCAATTTTCCCAAGGAGATAACTTTTCTCTTACAAAAATTAGGGAGTAGCCGCTTCTACAGGAACAAATATCACAACCAGCTCTTTTAATTCAACTTTTCATCTAAGCACGGTCAAAACTTCTAAAAACGGTCAAAAGACAGTCCAAAATCATTCTATTTTTTCTGCAAAAAGCAGATTGTGGCCACTAAAGTAGAGACAATTCCTAAAATCGGGTTTCCCCATTGAACACAAACTGAGAATTGGCACGGTAGTTTTCGAATACTATCAAAAAGTTTCCGCGTAATATCAAAACGTTTCCGAAAAATTGTCAAGTTTCAAAATTTGTCTTGTTTGAAGACTAAAACTTTTTTCTTAAGCAAACTTGACATAGCCCATGAAAAAGGCAGGGTTGTAACAACCTGTTGTTACGATTATACGTAAGATATCAGATTTGGCAGGATAGTTAGCGAGAACAGTCCAAAAACTGTCAACAAATCAAAAATTTGTTGTGTGAGAATCAAAGCTTTTTGTGATATTATAGGGCGTAGCCACTCATACCGAAAGGATTCACGCAACATCTAATTTCGATTGAACCCGAAATCTCAGACTTGGGAGGATAGTTCTAGAAGAAATCAAAAATTTTTGCTGTCGAAAAAATTTGGGCGTAACCGCATGGGCAAATAAATTTCCCACAACCCGTTCTTTGAATTGAGCCCAAAACCTCAGATAAGGCAGGGTAGTTTTCGAGAATTATTCTAAAAAATCAAAAGACGGTCAAAAAATCGTAAAATAGATTTTTCCGAGGCGATGTATTTTTGTGTTAAAAATTTTATCAGTCGCTGCTATTGCAGGGGAGCTTACCACTAAACGTTATCCTCATTGAGCCCACACTATCAGATTTGAGAGTTTGGTTCCCCAGAAAAAACAAAAAAGATTCACAAAACGGACAAAATCAAAAATTTGACCATTCGGAGTGCTATAACTTTATGTGAAAAAAAACGTTTGGGCCTAACCGCTTATGCCGAGATTTTATCAAAACCTTTCGAACTATTGAAGTCTAAGATTGAGAGGGGGTAATTTTTGAGAAAACGAAAAAAAATCAAAAATATGGGTCAAGTATTCCCTCACAGACTTTTTCGAAGACTGTAGACAGAGGAGTCAGGTATAAAAAGAAACTCAAGGGTAGTATGCATGCACAAAGAGTAGGCAAACTTTCATTTGATAATCCTTGTTTGAAAATCATGAGACGTTTTTGAGCAAAATTAAATTTTTTCCAATGAATTTTGAAATAATTTTCTGCAAAAAAAAAAATTCAACAAGCGTAACAAACCGATTGGTAACCTACAGCCAATTCAAAAAGTGCGGAGTAGTGTCAAAAATTTAATTCCAGTGAAACGACTCAAAATTGGGACATTAAGGCGCAAAAAAATTGGCCAAAAAATTTGGGCAGATGAATTTTTTCAGCGAAACCAAAAAAAAGGAAACACGAAGTCAAGGTAAGTAAAATTACAAATTGTCGGAAAAATCAAACACCAAAAGCAACATTTAAAAATTGCGCGCAGCACAAAATAAACTATTCCATGGTGTGCCATCTAAGCCGACAACAGATAAGCAGACAAATCATTGTCCGACAACTTTATTTGAAACAGGAACTTTTCGTTTGAAAAAGAAGGTCCTGGTCAAATTCAAACCCAGCACTTTTGCGTCCCAGGCAAATTCTTCACCTCCTGACTAAATTGGGCGGCAAAATATAGAAGTTTGAATTTATTATGAACCAAGATACAAGTGATTCTGTTAAACAAGTTGTTAAGCCGAAACTCTAGATTCTTGTTTGATAACGCTTGCTAATCGCAAGCGTAAGTAGCTAATATACCAACACAGATAGTTTAATTACGCGCTTTCGCCGCGACGAGCTTAACAAGCCGCCACAAAAAAAAACATGGCGATACCATGACTTTGATTAAAATCAATTGAAATAAAATGCAAATAAGTCCAATGCAGAAAATGCAAATAAGTCCCAAATAAATTTACCTGCACTATAAGAAACTTTAAATGGAGTTTTAGGAAAACCAGAAGTAGCCTCATTGCGCAGGAACTAATCCGGCAAAAATGAGCAGAGAGACAAAAACGTAACAAAGCCGAAAACTTTCAGTTCGAGAAAAAAAAACAGATTCCGCCTGCAATCAAAATCCCATGCTTTGCTACCAAGCATGGTTGTTAGAGCAAATTAGAAGAAAGCCGAACCTTCTCGAAAAATTGTGCTACGTAAACTAAACCTACAAAAATAAGCAAACAAACGATAGCCGAAAAAGCACAAAGTTTGGCGAAAAAAAAACAGGTCCGGAACGGACTCGAACCACAAGCCTTGTTCATCTCAAGCAGGTATGTTACGTCTGCGACATATGGTTGATTGAACTTATAATTTCTAAAATCAAATATCCGAGTGAGTCCAGAATCCTGGAGAGTCCTGTGAACTAATTTATTTACGAGAAAAAGTCTAGTACAAGATTGCATAACCATTGCTTATCACAAGGGTAAAGACAAAATGGTTACGGAAAAATAAGTACTGTTTCCGATTACAAAACACTTGCTTTTGCAAGGTTAATTATCAAAAATCAGCTTCATACGCGTCAATCTATTGTCAGATATGAATTAAAAACAACAAATTTGTTCTCATTATGTATATCAAGCATTTTTTGAGCTTAGAAAAGAGTTTTACTATTTGAAGAGAGTATGATGCATTACTGTTGCTGCGCAAATAGCTCAAAAAGTTCTGACCACATGGAGTTTAGTGAGAAACCTTGCATGTATAGAAAATTTCTTTAATATTGGTTTATTTCTTGCACAACACCAGACTGACTAATCATGTTTGGACACACACTTACGCAGCAACGCAATATATGAAATAGCTAATTTTTGAAAAACAAATCTCTTTATCTACGCCAGCTTGCTTAAAAGCGTAATTCCACTTCTTTGCTCTTATTCGGACTGAAAAAAACGACGTTTTTTTTCACCCAGAAATTTGTGAATAACGACTGAAAACGTTTTACTACGAAATATCGCTCGAGAAAACTGACTCTTAACAGGGCCTAACAATTAACAGAGGCGTAGCTTCACTTAGCACGCTCAAACGGATAATCTCAAAGCGAACTTTCAAAATTTAAGAAAGTGTAGAAAAAAGCGAATAAGCATTGATAAATTAAAAAATTGCCCACATCGGCATTGATCCCCGACCAACAAATTTGGAGTCTTATCTCATGAAAATTACATGATTTCTTATTGTCGCCTTTTGTCTCAAGTCAACAATAAAACTGATAAAACAGATTACGCAGAAAGTGAAAATGAGCAACAGATAAGCAGACAAATCATTGTCCGACAACTTTATTTGAAACAGGAATTTTTCGTTTGACAAAAAAGGTCCTGGTCAGATTCAAACCCAGGACTTTTGCGTCCCAGGCATATTCTTCACATCCTGACTAAGTTGGGCGGCAACATATAAAAGTTTGAATTTATTATGAACCAAGATACAAGTGATTCTGTTAAACAAGTTGTTAAGCCGAAACTCTACATTCTTGTTTGATAACGCTTGCTAATCACAAGCGTAAGTAGCTAATATACCAACCCAGATAGTTTAATTACGCGCTTTCGCCGCGACGAGCTTAACAAGCCGCCACAAAGAAAACTTGGCGATACCATGACTTTGATTAAAATCAATTGAAATAAAATGCAAATAAGTCCCAAATGCAAAAAATGCAAACAAGTCCCAAATAAAATTACCTGCACCATTAGAAACTTTAAATGGAGTTTTCGGAAAACCAGAAGTAGCCTCATTGCGCAGGAACTAAACCAACAAAAATGAGCAGACAGAAAAAAACCTAACATAGCCGAAAACTTTCAGTTCTAAAAAAAAACAGATTCCGCCTGCAATCAAGATCCCATGCTTTGCTACCAAGCATGGTTGTTAGAGCAAATTAGAAGAAAGCCCAACCTTCCCGAAAAATTGTGCTACGTAAACTAAACCTACAAAAATAAGGAAACAAACGATAGCCCGAAAAAGCACAGTTTGGAAAAAAAACAGGTCCGGGACGGACTCGAACCACAAGCCTTGTTAATCTCAAGCAGGTATGTTACGTCTGCGACATATGGTTGATTGAAATTATAATTTATAAAATCAAATATCCGAGTGAGTCCAGAATCCAGGAGAGTCCTGTGAACTAATTTATTTACGAGAAAAAGTCTAGTACAAGATTGCATAACCATTGCTTATCACAAGGGTAAAGACAAAATGGTTACGGAAAAATAAGTACTGTTTCCGATTACAAAACACTTGCTTTCGCAAGGTTAATTGTCAAAAATCAGCTTCATACGCGTCAATCTATTGTCAGATATGAATTAAAAACAACAAATTTGTTCTCATTATGTATATCAAGAATTTTTTGAGCTTAGAAAAGAGTTTTACCATTTGAAGAGAGTATGATGCATTACTGTTGCTGCGCAAATAGCTCAAAAAGTTCTGACCACTTGGA